CATTTCTATGCCGCCCCCATCGCAACAAAGCCTCGGGGTGGCTCACAGCATAATTAAAATATATAAATAACAATTAATACAATTAAAAATTTAAAAGCCCGGCAACATCTCAGCTTAAAAATTTAAAATCCTATAAATACATAAGTTAACACTTAAAATAAGTTTTAAATAAAAAGGTCTTAGCCTGGCGCCAAAAAGCAAATAACGATGGCGCCAGGCGGACCTCTCTGGGAAGCGCATTCCATAGGTGGGGCGCCACTGCAGAGAAGGCCCTCCTCCAGGTACTCACTGTCCTAATAAGGTTTGGTGTTGCCTTATCTGTCCTGCACCATAAATCTGCCTTTGTGGAAAAGAATCCTATTGACTGGGTGGTGTGTGATTTTACAAAATAAATACAGCAGCAGGCTTCCAAAGCTCAAGCCTACATTTCCTGCTTGAAACAGATCTGCAGTGCTGTCTGGGAAAGCCTTCCTGAGCTTGGGAGGGTCGCTTCCAAGAAATCATGCCTCGGACTGCAGTGTCCAAATCCTACACTCACCCGCAAAGACAGGCAGTGCTGGGACTTAAGCCAACTCCTTTGCCCAGCATCCTCAGCCAGTCACTAGCTAATCGGAGGCAGGACAGAGAGCTGTAAGGCTCACTCACAGAATGTGAGGGGTGGTCGCAGGCAGCACGGGCAAGACTCCAGGCGAGAAGCGGAGTACAGCTCCTTCTTGCATGCAGAGTATCAAAAGACGCGGGCACTGAAGCCAGCATCTGTCAAGCTCAGGGCTGGGAAGTTGGTATTTTGCAGCCACTGGGTACAGCTGCAAGCGCTCAGACCATGGGAAAAGGACCCATGGCCTGCCAGATGTGGCTGGACTGCAAGCCCCATTAGCCCTGGCTACTAGTCGTGCAGGCTGGGGCTGTCGGGAGTTTTGGAGAGGCCTAGAATCCATCAAAGAAGAAGAGACCGAAGGATGAACAGCCCTTCGAAGGACAGGACCAGGGCTCTCTACCTGGAAGTGCCCCAAGGTCTGTCTCATCCCGTGTGAGCACACACTTCACTTCATGGAATGCCTCTCTCCACCCTCGTGCACGCTTCAAATAAAACCCACATCCAGCAACAACGAAGAACTGTGGTTAAGAGGTGGCTGAGCAAGGCGGCCATGTGCTCACCCACTGAGAGCTCCGACAAAAGTACTTGGGGGCAATCGGGGCCGAAAAAAACTGCCAGCAAATGAAAGCTCTCACTGCCAGTCGCTGGGTCTTCAAGCGCACAGCGTGGGGAAAAGCCAGGAGAGCAGCAACGAGCAGTAGTTTGAGGAAGGGGCTGGTGGCATGGCCAACAGCAGAGAGCTGAATTTGGCCCAGGGGCTGAAGCTCTCCCCACTGCCAGGGCAGTGGCCTGCCCTGACTCTTGAGGCATTCTGCATGCGTGTATTTGAACTCTTGCCTCTGCGGAAGCAAGGCTGGAGGGGACGGAGCATGCATGCTTCCGGAAGAGCTGTTTGGGCTTTGCTTACGAGCAAAACATACCCACCCACCAGGAAGGGAAAAAAGGGAGGAAGGAGCAAGCCACCCACATAAAATTACATGTTTATATCTAGAACATCAAAAACAGGCTTTCCTTCATTAAGAGTAATCACACAATTCCTGACAAGAAAGAACTGAAGACTTTTTTTTTTTAATTCAACCACCACCGTTCCTTCTCCCATGGGAACAAACCAGCCAACAACAGGGGCTTGTACCAGTTAAAAAACTATCGGATTTATCACGGTGAACGGTTTCGTGGCCACGCTGTCGGTTGGACGAAGCGCTTGCACTTCACACCATTAGGCACCCCGACCAAGCTCCGATTTTTGGACACACAAGCTCCTTTGTGCGGGGAACAAATGAATCTGGCCTGCGACTTGCTCCTGAGGAGCTCAGATGAGCGAGCGGCCTAATACCGCCCCTCGCCGCGCGACTGCCAAGACCAGGCAAGCCCGCCTAGCCCCGCTCCACCGCAGTCTCTCACCTTCGGCTTCTTCGTGCTCTCTGCCGGCTTCGGAGGGAATGTGCAGGGGACTCGTCCTTGCGCGAAGTGAGCCGGCAACGGGAGGCTGGGATCCAGCGGCACCCACGGGACCGAGAGGGTGGAAGGCACTCCGGGCAGGTCGGCGTGAGCTGCGTGCAAGTTGTACGCGGTCCTGGGGGCCTTTTCGTCGGCGCGCCGATAGATTGCAACCGAGGCGTCTCCCGCGGCGTGAGCCAAGAGGTAGGAGCCCTCCTGCAAGCTGAAACACAGAGGACTTCACAATGGGGGTCTCAGGGGGGCTCTGAGGCGGGCAAGCCGCTTATCCCCGCCGTCTCCTCTGCAGCACCCCTTTGATCAAAAAACTACAGGGATTTTTGACCACTTTTTAAAACATTGCCGATATTGCAAGGAGAGGAAGGATAAAAATATTATTGACAACAGACAACAGTACGAAGGGATGAGTGCTGGGGTATTCTTTCCTCTGCCTTGCCTGGCCCACCAAGCCCCTTGGGTCTCCCTCCGCACTGGCCTCACTCTCCCAACGGCCTGTGAAGCTGGCAGTTCACAGCCCTGGTTTTCCTTTTCCGTTAGCGACTGTGCTCAGCCCGTCCTCTAGCAGTTCCCTTTGGCTCGACCGCTGCCGAAGTTCCCAATTCCAGTTCCCCCCGAGCACGCTCTTGCGCCTCAAACCCTTCCCCGACCAGGCCCAGCGCATCCACTGGAGGTTGACACCCACAGGGTCTTTTCCAACATTCACTGCAAAGAAAGAAAGAAAGAAAGGTGAAGGAGATACTTACGCAGTCACTGTCTTCAGGAGATGCTGAAGAATGTTCAGTGAATTTGCCGGCCTGCGAGTAAAGAATAACATTCAGAAGCAGTCAATAATTTGCAGGGGAAGCACTGAGCTCACACTAAAAATTACTGCTCTGCCATCACAGCTCCTTAAAAAATAATCACAGAGCACTAGGCAGTTTGCCAGTTGTCGTCACATATTGCCTAAAGCGAGTGTCCATCTCCAGGCTTTAAGGCCACAAATGTGCAGCTGTTGTATCATCAGACATGTGTGAGATGCAGCATCTGGCAGGGTGCCCATCACCACAGCATTCCCAGCTTTCATGTGTCACCAAGATCTAAGTTTCTAAACCTCATGATTGTAGAATGAGGAGTGACCTGTGTCAGCTGACATTTCAGAAAACAGACAAGGAGGGCCTGTTTTGGCAATGATTCTAGGGGCCAGCGTGGCTTGTGAACTATCTATAGTGCAAAGGGGTAAGAGATCAGATAGTAAAACTACTCTGTCCCACCACAGTTAGCCATGGCCCAGGATAATGGGCATCGCAATCCACACTGCTGCTGCTGATTTCATTTATTGATCAACTTTTTGCAGTTTTCTGTGCAAACACAATGAAGCATTGCTGTTGCATTTCATTTGTCTCCAATACGGGGAATCGGAACAGGTAACCCCTGGGCAGTTCATGCATGGATAAATGTAGTGTTAATGCTGTGGGTTTCTAGAGGGGAGGAACTGGCTGGTTTAGAAGCTGCTGCAGGGACCTCACAAAGCACTCGCGTTCAGGCAGGGGACTCACTTGAATGTGCCAAATCTCTTCTTCAAATCTTCTGCCGAGAGCCGCTCGAGCAGAAAGAGCTGTGAAGTGAGGGCATCGATATGACCTGAAGGCAGGGAAAAGTCACCAAACCAAGTCATTTCACAAGAATGAGGAAGTCCACAATAAAGATGATGCACAACCTAAAGTACAGGAGATGCCACAGTTTTGGGTAAAAGAAAATCACAGCACCGCTGGAATGTCAGAACCGTGTGAACGATGAACAGGGATGCAATACAGGGAGACCACAAGTGCTTAATCCTGCCCGTCTGTGTAGTTCAACACTGCCTTCCAACAGTGGCCAGTCAAATCCCACTGGCTACCGATGGGAAGTGGGGCGGGTGGGGGCGGGGTTGGGATGCGTAGCTTTAGAAGAAGAATCACACTAAAAGGGCAGAGCAATCCTACCATCCCTGGAAGAGCATCCCAGAAAACAGAAATATGGCGGATCCACCACCCACACAAGACTCTGCTGTGACCATGGGAGGGAGCCTGAAGCTGCAATGCTTCCCCACCCGGCCCGGCCCGGCCCGGCCCCTTGCAGCGGCTGTGGAAAGCAGTGGCAACTGCTCTTCCAGGGTAGCAGCTGTGGCGTGAGAAGAGAGCAGGGTGGTGAGTGGGCAGAGGAAGAAGAGGAGAATCTGCAGGAGCTCGAGGCCGTTTGTCACAGCATAGTCTAAAGCCAAGAGACTCATCCTGATAATATGGGGAAGAAATGCAGGACTCAGAAGCCCTTTTGCCTCTAGCCGTCTCCCTGGCTCCCACTAGCAGAGAATAAGAGAAGCGGAGGACTCCCAACCCGGAGCGCTCTGGGGATCAGGAGCAAAGCTTCAGGGTTGCGCTCAGAAACGCCTGCTTCTGGGACTGACCCTGAATCGGCGCTACGACTCCTCCAACGCACCGGCGCATACACAAAGGAGGAGAGACTATTTAAACAGCAACTTATCTGAAGGTTCTGGGTGTTGCACTCACTCACAAATAATCCATTCTTGAGGCTCTCTTATGCCGTGTTTGACATTCCATTCAGCCTTTATAGGGGGAACACCTTTCAAACCAAGCTGCCGTGTGCACTGCCAATCCGGAGCCCTCGAGTTAAGTAAACTTAAGATACGTGCTTTATTCAACACAATGCTATCGGAACGCCAAACAATGCTACTTCCCTGACAAACATAGTAAGGGAATACAACGTTTTGGTGGATTTGGGGGCGATTTCAAACTTTGAACCTGCCAAATAAGAAATTCCCGATAGCATGCTGGGAGGGTGCTGCATGTCTTGTCCCCAGAGTCCGCCAGTAACTCACGGATGGGACTGGTGCTGTGTGGTTTGGCTGCCCTGCCCTCCAAGGTGTGGGGGTGCTCTGTCCGCAGTACCTTGTCACTTACCAGACGGGATGTCATGGCAGCCCGTGACCCGGGGGAGCAGCAGAGGTAGCCATGAAAAAACAAAGACCTTCTTGCCCAGTCCTTCACTGGTATGAGCGATGAAAACAACGGGGAGATGGCGGTGAAGAACCCCACGCCGCGGGCAGAGTCCTTGCACCATATAGCTAGGCTGCCAACAATTCATTTTCTAACTTCAGCCAGGGAAGGCGAGGGATAGGAGGATGTGTATAAAAGATGTTCTGATATGGAAAAAAGTTAGTTTCTACAGGCAGATCCATTCATTATGCCAGTTTGGATGAGGGACGTGGAAAAGCAAAGCACAGAGAGAGAGCGAGAGAGAGAGAACGAACAAGCCCAGGGAACTGTGTGGACCAATGAGGAAGAGGGGGACCACTTGGGACTGAATTTCAGGCCAGTGGCTGATGGGATATGTGCCAACAGCGAGTGGACTGAACAGGGAGGAAGGGAACTATGGTAACACAGAAACAAACCGCTGAACCGTCTGTCAGGGAGATCATGATGAAAACAACGGTAACCACGCAGGGCCACTTGCCGTAATGGTGAACCCGCCCATACAGAGTTTCATTCAAAAAATCAAGGTTGCTTTGATTTTTAAGAAACCATGTGTGACTGAGGTTGGTTGCTGATAAAGATACGAGAACAGGAAAGCAGCCCGCACATTTCTGTGGAACGTAATTCATTTATACCTGCAAACAAAAATGAACTTACCAACTGCAAATGAGCTGTTGGAATGTAACAAACTTTCTGTCCACAGCTGGCATATTTCACTTTCACTCAATGCTTCTGCACCATAGAAGGGTTGATATTCTAGTTTCGGCAATACATAAACTGGGAAGTGCTGCCAAACAAAAGGAACAAAGCTAAATAAGCCTCTTTGCCCGTTGATTAAAGCGTTTCAGTCTGTGCATTTAGCTGGAAACCAAAACATGCACCTGATTGATTGGCAGTGCTAGGCTGAGTCTGGCACCATCCGGTACTGGACTCGGAGACGGTGAAAGTTTGCTCAATTCCAGTGCATTCTGAAAAAAGGGGGCATTGTCTTGAGGATCCACTTTTGACGTGTGGGTTTCCTGGGGGAATGCGCTTCTCCACCGTGTGAATGGCAGGCTGGACTAGGCAGACCTGACCTCGGATCCCACAGGGCTCATCTTAGGTTCTCGGCTTTCCAAGAAGAATTGCTCACAGCGGGAGGAAAAATGCAGAACGTCGACACTCACGGGTGCATGCAAGTGTGCATCTGTTCAACTCCTGATTCAGCTAAAGATGAATTCACACGGAGGCTTCTACACGCTTGCCAAACCTTCACTGGATCATGTTAATTGTTAATAGTATTTATTCATTTTATTCTTTGGCCAGGGCGACTTAATTTATATCATTCTATGGAAGTTTATTTATGGATGTGAGCCGCCCCGAGGCTTCGGCGAATGGGGCGGCATAGAAGTCTCCTAAATAAATAAAATAAGTAAATGTTGAAAACCCTTTAGAACTCAAGGACTGTTGGCGGTAACTCTCAGTTCGTAACTTCAACATGCATAAAATGCTAGAGTTTTGTAATTAGGAAGTGACATGGCAGATCTAACTACAAGTCCTTGCAATTGATGTTCCTCCATGTTAGCAAAGGAAGAGCCCCTTTCGATGGTTTGATGAAATGTTGTATGCATTTCAAAACCCTTGCAACAACAAAGCAAGGGCCCAATATTCTACTTTGAAATTGAGATAACTTTATTTTCAAGACTGTTGTCTCTGTTGTTGATTTGTCTCACTTCTACACCATTCAACAGGCAAACTTTCTGGGAAGTTTGCAAACCAAGACATTTAACTGCAACATTCAGCAGCACAGCAAAACATACTCTGTGGACTTGCAAGTTGAGAGCAGAACAAAACCAGAGGATAAGCCAGCAACACTGCAAAGATCTGGAAACATCCTGTAAAAACTGAAGAGCTCAAAAGCCTGAAGAAATCCAAAGGCAATGAGAGGGACCGCACCACGGGCACCAGGCCAGTCTCTGGGGAAGGCATGTGGACACCTGGAGACACAAAGCCCTCTCTTTGCTAGTGGCTCACCCCACTTTGTCTTGTGAAGGCAGCAAAAGAACCTCTCAAGATGAGCTCTGAGTCCAGGCAGGTTCATACGGAAGGAGATGATCTTTCAGGGAATCTGGGCTTGACACATTTAGGGCTTGGTAACCCTTTGGATAGGGCTTGGAAAAGAACAGCCGGCCAACGCTGGTCATAAGACACTGGCATAATATTTTACGTTGACCTAGTGACTAACGTGTCTTCTGGGTATATAAAGTAACTGATAAGCCAGCAGAGCAGGCTTGCTATCTAACAGTCGTAACAGAAGAGGAAAAAGGAATGGCAAAGAAGCCAGCATTGCTGCAGCTGCTCTGGCAGTGGCAGGTCAGCCAGACCCCCCCCCCCGCCCCCCCTCGGCATGGCAAAATGTTCTTGAGAGTCATGGCTTGGCGTTGCCCTGGGGCTCTAAGCCTCTGGGGCTAGTGGCGCAGAACCATTGCTTGCCACTCTGCAGATCCAGTTACATTTTACAAAGTAAAGGTTCTCGCCTTATCTTTGCTGTGTTCTGTCACAGAAATAATTAACACTGCCTTTTGGTCACAGCTTCAACATGCTCGGACTTCCGCAAACCAGTTGATGGATTTAGAAGGGCAGAATGTTTGACAGCTGTGAACATTTGCAGCGTGTTTCTGGGATAAAAAGATAAAAGGTGTTTCTGGCACCTTGCATGTGCCCTGGGAAAACTTATTATGGATAGAGCGCAACACAATCACGATGACTAAGAACTAAGCCAACGGCACCAGGCCTGGCATGCATTCTGAGGTTCGCTGAAAAAATTAACACTGCAATGCTGCCCACCTTTAGCAATTTTAAAAAGGAGACTAATGAATTCCGATTGTAAGAGGAACACACACAGATTAAATGCCCACACACCAATATTATAAACAGAATGACAATTTCTCCCCTAAAATATGACTTCACAGATTCGATGATCTGGAAGCTGATCAGACCTTGTAACCTCATGAATACAGGCAAAGCAACCCTGCTGGAAAGAACACATAAAATAGAGGGAGTTTGTTTTTATAAACCTTTTTATCCTGCTCCACTCCAATTCTGCTTATGCGTGTTCTTTGCATGGCTAAAATGTCCCTGATTTTTCATGAAGGGGTGCATGAAACAGGAAGGAGCAAAGCCAAACCTCATATCTAAAATCTGAGAAGTATCTCAGGCAACAGGGCTGGGAAATGCCAGTTCCGGACAGCAGTCTGGTTATTAGATTTTGAAGAAACCAAAGAAGGAATGACCTTCAAAGGCAGGAGCACTGATAGCACACCGGGAGTGTCTAACCGGGATTGTCAAGGCGTGGCTAGCCGTGAATGAGCTCTGGCTGCCCAGGAGCAAACTCAAAGGGTGGAAGGCACTTTGGACCACAGATGGCACCAGGGCACCTACTTGGAGTGCTGTAAAGATCCAGGCCTGGGCCCAGAAGAAAGGCCAGAAACAAGCAGTGGCCAACCTTAGTCTTTGCGGCGAGCACAACCCTGCTCAGAAGAGCTCGAACTGCAAGCCAGGCCTAGACTGAAGCAGGTGCAAGCGCTCTGCCTCCTCCTCCCCCAGGGGAGCCCCTCCAGCCCAGCAAAAGTGGCACTCCGAGGGCCAGAGAGCCTGCTGGCTGCGACAAGCAGTGGAAGGGATGCTTCTGACCATCAGGCAGCAGTGCCTGGCGCGGGCAGAGCCTTTCCGTCGGCGGAAGAAGGCACCCCTCCAGCAGACCACCCACAAACAGCCGCTCTGCCCTGTCTGGCTCAGGATTCGCTTCACTGGCTGTCCTCCAGGACACTGTGAGATACGACAATTTCCCTTCACTGTAATAGGAATACATTTCGCAGTGTTAAGGAACTTTGCTGTCAAGTTATTCTGTAAACACCGAGATAAGGAGCGTGTGGCGCACAGAGCCCAAGAGGCAGAGAGGAGGAGGAGGAGGAGGAGGAGGAGGAGGAACAGTCCCTAATTATCCTGGGAGTTCCCGCAGCAACAAGAGAAGCTGCAGCAAATCGTTCTGCTCCCGTGAGCCATAATGGTGCGTCGCCGCCATTATGGGAAGTGCAGCCGAGGCCACGCTCCAGAGGCAGCAAGCAGCACACAGGGACCTCCAGTGGCCCGGGAAGTGCCGACAGTGACAAAGGCGGCCCAAAGGGACTCCTGGTGCCCACTCAAGAATGACGCAAAAGCAGGGGGCGAGGTGGCCAGCAGGTCCACTGGGCAGCTCCTCTCCTGCTCGTGTTGTACTGTACGACTGAGGCTGTACAGGACATGGCTTAACGGCTGGGCCAGGTTAGTCCTCCTGGCTGCTGACCCAGAGCTAAGAGAGGGCCAGATTTAGCAGACGCTCCGTCCTTTCCAACAGCCAAGTGGAAGCTCCCACTAGGAGACCCCTGCTGAGACCCATGAGAACCACAGCCATTCCACCGGTCCCACAAGAATTATTTTTTTCTTCTTCCCTCCCCACTCCTTTTTCCTTGCATGTCGTGCCCTTTCAGACTGTAAGCCTTGATCCCATGGAAGCAGCCAGCTCAGTCCATAAATCAACAAGAGCTGACCAGGACCTTCTCTCCAGCACCGCTTTTGCACAGCACTGCAAAACTGCTCGCCACCCAGGGGAGCTGCAAGCCAAGCCCCATCAGGCCAACAGAACCTGAGCACTTACGCGCTTGACTCTGACTTTCTTATTGCGCGGCCTCAGCTCAGCTTTCTGCACAGAGCAGCGTACCAACAGCAGCAAGCTGTCCAGGCGGAAGAGTTTGTAGATCGCGTTGCCCTGCGGCGGCAGCGTATATTCCGAGCGATCCTCAGCGGCATCCCAAGAGGCCCCTTTCCAAAAGAGACAGTGAAAAGTTAGTCGGAATTGACATTCCACAGGTTGCACCTGTTCTAAGAGTATCTTTTCTCGCCAATGACATTTTTGAGTGTTGACTCAGGAATGAACAGGTTGGATTCAACTTCCAGCAAGGAACTGCTGGTCGTTGGCCAGGATCTCAGACACAGTCCTGGATTCTCAAAGACACTTTGCCCCATTAAATAGCAATTTCCCGGTATTAAAGTCACTCACGTTTTTGTGATGCCTGAAAGTTTGTTGCCCAGGTGAACTTGAAGGAACTGCTGGTATCTGCAGCGGCACTTTGTCCAGGCTCCGGAGTGGAAGGCAAGGAAGTTTCTGGTTGCGTGTGCTCCTGGCTTGGCACGAGACTCAAACTTCTTTCCGGGTGAGACTGCGGCTGCCCCCGATGGTTTGGAGAAGGCGACCTGTGGAGCTCAGCTTGCATTTTCAGGATCTGCCCAAGAGGATCAGCCTTTTCGGACAACAGTTTGGAGTGTTCTGGGGGAACATTCACTTCTTGTTCTGAAAGCGCCGACGGATCAGCCAGTTTTCTGGAACAGGCTTCCTCAGAGCAAGGAGACTCGGGAGGATATGCTTGGGGGTCGCAACTGGAGGTGATCAAACTTTGCTCACAACGCCCACTCTCTGTACATTCTGTGTCAATGACCAAAGATTCCTCATCCGTATCGCTATGGTGGGATGGCACCGTTGACGTCACATCTGGTGCTACATCAGTTCCTTCCTTCAAGGTATCTTTTGCATTAGATGAACCAAATAAAGCATGGCCCAGACTTTCCTCTTGGCTTTCTGGTTCAGCAGCCATTGCCTTAAAATCTTTAACTGATGCATTGTCCTTCAAACCCAAGACTTCATTGCCTGAAGGTGGAGTCTCAGTTAAATTCTGCCTGCTGCTAAATTCTGTCCTCTGCTCACCGGCTTTACGACTTCCCTCTCCCTGTTCACTGTTCACACCCCACACCGATTCTTTTTCGACTTTCGGATGCTTTGACAAGGTTTTAGATAAAAAGGCAGGTTTTGTCGGAGTGCTCTCTTGTTTAGCAAAATTCAGAAGCTTAGATGTTGAACCAAAGGTTTCTAGTTCTGTGACATCAGTGTTAAAGTCTATATCTGTAGAATCGGCTACTGGCACCCGCCTAGCATGGCAATCTTCAGGGGCAGCTTCCAGCTAGAAGAGAGAAAGAAAAGCTGTACATCAAGAAATGGGAACGAATGTTCTGCTCCTGAAATCTTGGAAGGAAAAGTTACTAATCCACTTGCTGCCTGCATCTGAATGTTTCAGGAACTATCTCAGCCGAACAAGTCAGGTGTGCACAAGCTTGGGGGTACACACACACACATGCACAGACTCAAAGAAGCAGACACACTCACTCATTCACACTGCCCAAACCCCAAAATACAGTCATGCTTCCCCCACAAGAAATTTTGTTTCCATCCAGCCCTGCCAGGGCCTTCCCTTCGCAGGTGCTGGCACTGAAACCCATTCCCCCTTCTCTGCTCTTTCACAGGAGAGACTGGAAATAAGAGAAGGACTTTCCTTGCTGAAGCTAGACAAAAAACTAGGCAGGGTACCTACAGCTCCATGGGCTACGTGGGAGCAAGCAAAGGGCATATGTTTCCAATAGTTTATCAGGCTGAATCAGCGTGTCGTGTCTATTTCCTTCCCCCATCCTTCTTTTCCCATGCCAGGATGGAAACTTCAGTGGGGCGATAAGGCATAATTCTTGCCACATCCAGACTGAAGAAAAGCCTGTGTTTTAATCTACAAGTACAACCAGGTCTGAGAACTAGTCTGGTTTATGCCACTCTCACCCAGTTTGGATGCAATGGGAACGTTGGTTTCACCAGCTTCAGGAGTACTGAATTAAGACGCGCCGAGGGGAGAGAAGTGAGAAAGGGACTGCTGGAGCACACGGGTTCGCTGCACTGTCCGGTTTGTTAGATGGATCTTATTGCCTCCAACTGGGACCACTGAAACATTCTGACAGAGGCACCAAAGAGGAGCAAATTTTGCATATTGTCACTGGCTGCAAGGAACTGGGTGCTGGACCAGTCCGACCAGTGCAGATCCCTTCTGCTCTTACTGTCAGTACTTTCTCCAAATCCATTTGCCTGTTCCTTGTTGACTACAAGCTTTCCTCATCCCTTCAACACATGAGGGTCCCTAGAATTTAAATTATGTACCAGAAACTAAATTCTGTGCAGAATGAGGGAAGATGAGTTGTCCTGGAATGCTTTTGCCAAGCCTTTCCCAATGCCCATTAAAAGTGAGAAGAGCTTAAAATCAGAACTCACCAGTACTTCAGGTGCCTTGTCAAGAATTATAGCATGTGCAACAACATGTGATCGTTTGGTCATGTGAAAGTCTAACAGAAATTCGTGAAAAACCTGGTTTTTCTCTCTTATAGTCATCTCTTTCTTTGGAAGAGGGGGATCCAGATAGACAACCTTAACTGGTTTGAGGCCTTTAAAGAGAGAAGTGCATTTTCACCTTTAGCAGCACGAAAATAGAAGCATACTTTTCAGACACGGCCTAAATGTTAACTTAATGTTCTTTTTTGAGTACATTAAAACACCAGGAAGTGCAGAGGTTGCATTAATAGGCACAGGAATAAAAATGCAACTCCTTCTCAATAATGACTCGATTCCACTGAAGTTTTGCATCATCAATACATTTATGTATCATCTGGGTTTTTTTAAGCATACAAAAATAGGAGGGTGGAAAGAAAACCAGTTTTTCAATTCTTCACTTACCTTACCTGCAAAATTATGTAGAATCAACATATTGCTTTAATGCAATGCAAAATAAATTAAGAAATGTGCAGCAAGGGAAAAACACACACAATTTGACCATTTGTCAACATTTTACCCTGGGAGAAAAGTCCTACCTTCTGCAGAAATGGTTTTCACGGAAACAGGCAGTTCCCACTGCTGTCTGTAATCCAGACCGTGATTGTTTAACAATGTGAATAACGACTCGCTTGTTAGCACCACCTGAGGACAGTATTTTGCAGCAAGTTTTTCAGCGTTTGGATCCCTGCTCACCGCCTTTTGAAAAGAAAACAGAAAACGAGCTGAGATTATGGAAGCTGGACAGAACCATAAGCATCCCATTGTTAACCGAGTATGTGCTGAAAACATACTTGATCCAGACAAATAAATTATTGAAATATCATTTAATCCCTAAGAGTGGGAAACTGAACTGCTACAGTAAGAATCAAGGTATTTATTAAAAGACTCAGAAATACACTGGTACCTCAGCTCACAAACGCCTCAGTTCACAACCAAATTGGGTTGCAAACAAAAATTTCATTAAAAATTTGACTTAGGTTGCGAACTCCGCATTGGGTGGCGGCTGCAATCGCAGACATCCCCCCGAGTGGGGAGATGGCCGCGATTGTGCTGAGGGTGGGGCGGAGATGGCCGAGATAGCGCCCGTCTTTCCTGCAGGAGCGCAATCCCGATCTCGGCCATCTCCCCCCCCCAGCGCGCCTGCGTTCACACCCGCCTCCCTGCCTCCAGCATGCCGGGATGATGGGCGCATGCAGGGATGACAGGCAGGATTGCGGTCGTGCTGGGGGTGGGGGCAGGGAGATGGCCACAATCTTTTTCATTCTTTGTCACTTTGCTTTACATTTTTCTGAATAAAAAAATAATTACAGAACAGACTGACCTTATTTACACTGAATCTTATGAGGAAATTTAACTTGGGTCACGACCAGAGTCCTGGAACGGATTAAGTTCATGAGCCAAGGTACCACTGTATTTCTCTACACACATGTTTAGAAACCAACCCTAGCATTCCAAATCCAGTGCCTAACTGATTTCTCCACCTGTCAACACCTATTTCAGTGCTAACTGCTAGACAAGACATGAGTTTTGTCAAGATCAGGGCTGAGAAGGGAAGCCCATCTCCCCAGTGGTTGTGCACTTGATGAAAAAGATTGTTCTCTTGCCGCCTTAATTTGTTAAAAGATGGTTCCTAACTCATCAATTAAAGTTACATCAAATTTACATGCATGACGGCCCAAGCAGTGCTTGGAATAATTCATGAACTGTGCTCTACAGTGTATTTTTGGGAGGTCCATGAAAAGGCAATGAAAGTAACAGAAGACCTTTCTCAAAACAAGACAGGAATGAAGACCTACTCTGTTATACGAGAATGCAGGACTTCGGGGCTCAGAAAAAAGTAATTCGTTACTGACACCATGGAGGGAGTCTTTTCTTAGAACCAGTGAGGGAATCCATTCCTTAGCTCCAGTCTCTCATCAGAGCCTGGAAGTAAGAAATAGATTCTGGGCCTGACACAGGAAACCCCAGAATGCAGCACATCCAGGATGCCTTGGCAGGCTGCGTGGGGTTCATACTTCTGCACCCCTGCAAAAACAGAACCCCCAGTACAGTGTTACGATGCAATGAGCAATTTTCCGCTAGCGCAAACCACAGAGCAGATTACTGCGGAATGAAGTAGCTTGCTTCATACGCAAACCTAAGCCAGAATTTAGGAGCATACGCACAAGCCGGGTTAAGACTCAGGCATTCCCGGTCTTTCTTTTGGTGAAGGTGAAAAGACTTAGCCTGGATTCGGTTACCATTTCTGCAATGCTGTTCTCAGTATATATGAATCAGGAATTCTGTTTTGAAACAAACTCTCGTCAATCGCTGAACAAGCCGAGTGCAAACTAGATTGTTTTATACCCCCTTTTATGGGAAGAGGAAAGGGGACAACATGAACGGGGGCTCTACTCGGGCTTGCAAAAGTTTGTCCATGCTACTCCGAACTGTGGCTTGGTGCTACCTGCGAACAAGACAACCTGCTCAGGGTCAAAGCCAAATTAAAACTCGTGCCTTTATTGGACTAGCCACAAGATCCTTTCTTGACTAGCTGGCAGGATTAGAGTTTTAGAATAACTACATCAATCAGCAAACACAATATATTAAGAATTTCTACTGCACCATTCCCACTAAAACTGGGTTGTTTCTGGGGTTATGCTTTTCTTGATCCACTGCCAATTTTTACTTACATCATGCAGCACTGAAGCTCTCTGTTCTGGAGTTAAAATGCCCAGCTCATTATTATCACTATTATCTGGTAACTGTATTGATGTGGGTAGTTTTGGAAAGTATCGCTTAATGAAGTTTACCTTTCCCTTGAAGGAAAAAAAAAAAGAGAGAGAGAATTAATAATTTTGGGAGGGATTCTAAGTGGGCAGGGAACTAAATTATGTGCTTCATTTACAAGGGCATGAACTGTGATAATCAGTGGAGGTGTGGAAGCAGAGAATTCCCCGTTGTGTTGCCTAGAATGCACATGGTTTGCATGCAAAAGGTACCACACTCAAGTCCCAGGTATCTCCATTGGAAGGAATCCTCTCTGAAATAATGAAGGGCTGCTGCCAGTCAGTGTGGACAATAATGGGTCAGATGGGCAAATGGGCCCACTCTGGGCAAGACAGTTTGCATGCAGAAGGCAAAGGTGCTCTTTGCATGTCCAGCTAAGGGGCATAATTTGTACCGATCCAAATGAACAAAGCTGCAACTCAACACAAAGAAGATTGATGTACACCTTACCAAAGCAAGAAGGCTTTTTTCAAGTTTTAATGTCAGTTCTGTGCTAAATTTTCCTCCCATGATGCTGGTAACTTCATGAAGGGTATAACATTCAGGGTACTTCTTCACGTAACCAATACGACAAGTTAAAAATTTCTTTGGAGGGGGGAAAAAAAGCTTGTTAGGATTTTCTTCAACAGAGTCTCAGAAAAATTCAAATAGCTACATTGCAAGAGCTATGTAAACTATAAAGTTTGCCAGTGTTTTCAAAGTGTTCAGACTTCCCAGAAAGTTTCAGCTATTGGACAGTCTAGGAATGTGAATAAATAATTAAGACTTGCTCAACTTGAAAAGGCAGAAAAGCGATCCTTTACTACTCTTACCTTGACATAAAGCGAGGCCTCCTCAGAAATCTCATCATAATCTTTGGCACAACTTCGAGCAGCATTTTGGGCAAACTTTTGGAACTCTGCAACTTCTTTGCTCACAAATTCTTTCATTTGCTTCAAGACATAAAACAAACAAGCAAATCAATTCATTAAATAAGAAGTGATGCCCAGTTGCGCTACACAACAGGAACCAAGATCCAACAGGAAAAGCATAATTGTTCCTGTCTTAGGGTTAAGACTTTGCTTTCATGTGTGAGCCTTTGCATGAAGACCGGCAGAACCGGGAACAACTACTGGAGGAGGCTGGTGGTTCAAGTAGAAAAGCATTTGTTTTGCCTGCAGAAGACTCCAGGTTTGATCCTAGAATTGCCACGTGGGCTGGGAAAGAACCACTCTGAAATCTGGGCGTGCTGCTGACAGTCAGTGCTGACAACACTGGGCTAGACAGGTTGACCTAGCAGAAGGCAGATTTCTATGTTCCTTGGCAGTTATAACATAGAGATATACTTTTTTGTATTTATTTGTTACAACCCCGCATGACATCCTAGAAGATTGAATGCTTCAAGAAAAATAACTTAATACTATAATTCTATATACTGTAATTCTAACTTAAAGTACAATTCAATGTGTTCATTGTGCTGTGCGTGGCTGCTTGAATTTTCTTCTTTCGACCTATTTTCTTCCAACAAAAGGAACAGTTCTGGATAATAGCAGGAAACATATTTACTTTGCCACTACTTCTCCCAGAAAATAAATGAGTAGCACTTAAAATCATGTCCTGAATGTCCCAGTGAAATGCTCTGGATATTACTACCACTATTACTACTTTGTGGGACCATCCAATAGTGCAGGGAGAAACAGGGAAACGATCGTTCACAAAAATCCTAAGGCTTAGCAAGAGGAAGGTTTGAAGGACCTTTAGTTAAGTAATAAAGCCTCTGCTGTGCATGGAGATTGTCCTAGGTTAAAACTCTGGCATCTCCAGGCAGGCCTGGAAAGCAGCTGCCAGTCAGCGTGGGCAATATTGGGCTGGGTGGGCCAACAGGGCATCTTCCTACAATTGTGTGAACACGCACAAGGCTGGAGGAGACCTTGCAGAGTGTACCTGCTGGGCTGCAAAGCCCGGGATAATACCGCTTCTGTATTTCAGTTAGCCACTATGCTTATGTTTGCATACAAGGACAGTAAGTACAATTTATTTGTCTTATTGGCGGTGGCAAGAAAAAGAAACCGGACACTCACCAGATACTGCAAATAATCTTTTTGCTCGGACGTGCCTATCAGGCTGGGCTTGGCATTTAAGTACGTGGACAACAAATATAAGTATCTCCTCTGCTCTTTCTCAGTCAAACTAGAAAAGTAAGTATAGGGGACGCGGGGGTGTTGAAAAGGGACGGCCTCTGCTGAAGGCGTAACTGTCACTTTGACTGGGTTTGCTGGAGCCAATTTGCTCGAAGCACAATTTCCTTGCCCAGAATTGCTCGTATCGGCATTGTCTCCCCCATGCCTGAAAAAGAAGGAAGAAGCAAACAGCATACCTGTACACTTTTGTTGGGGGGGGGCTTTTTTGGGGGGGTAGATACCCATTCAGCACATAGCCTCACGCTTATTATCTATATTTTTTATTTCGAAAGAAGTTTGTAAGCAGACTGGCCACACCATCATATTAGTTTCTCTGCTTACCAGACCCAGAAGATTTAAAATAAACTGCAATTTTAACTGGAAGGAGCATCACTAACTCCTGGTTGGGAGTTAGTCCACTGGTTGGGAGGCAGACGCTGTCTAATGCAAAGAGCAACACTTCCTTGTCTCTCACAGTTCCCCCTCAATTGTAAGAAATCGTTAGCATCTCTGTTCTGAGACAATGGCCAAGATCTAACGAACTAGTAAAAGCACAATCCTGTGAACGTTAACTCAGAATTCTACCCTCTCAATGTTTGGTGGAAATCACACCTCTGAAAAGATGCAAAAGCTTATACTGTCAATCTGCAACATTATTCCAGGAGACCTTTTCCCCATATATTTACCACCATTTATAATATTCTTATTACAAGATTGGGCCAAAAAGGCACTCAGCTTGCAAAGATAAGAAGCAAGACAGTTTCTGCTTGCAGGCTTACAAAGGAAAGGACACAAAACAAAAGGAAAAGTCATTGGAAAGCAGGAAGAAAAATGCATATTTAAGCACTAGATCGTACCTGCAAAATTCAACAGGTCACGGACATGGAATTTGAATACCAAGGAGTGTCTGAATGGAAGCAAGACTGCCCTATCATTTTATTATTTATTTAGTGGCTGTGTATCCCACCTTCTTCTTCTTTTAAAGAACCCAAAGCAGTTTACATCATTTTGTTGTTCTCAGTCCTGCTATGATGGAGCCACTGCTGGTTCTATAGCCCAACAGAGGAGAAAAAAATTCTCACCCGCCTGAAAATATTTATTCTGGCTAACATGTTTCAGGGGCAAAAAAAATTCTCTTTCCTCAGGGATAATTTTTTTCCCCAGATATATCAAGAAGTATCCCCTTCAATGTACCTTCTGTGTTGCATATTTCCCCAAAACATGTTGGGCAGAATAAATATTTTCTTCAGGCACCCAACAAGTTTTCCCTTTGTGTTGTGATGCGCAACAGCCTTCCCTTCTCACTGTTCTGTTCAGCTAATTGCACCACCACCATGTGCTTTGCCATTTTGCAACATGTCCTTCTCCTAGGCGTGAGCCTTTTCCACAACAATCCTCACTCTGAGGAATGCCCTCGCCTGGTATTCAGGGAGGGCCCACTGCAGCCCCTGTTTTTACCCAGCCTTCCCTAACGGATCGAGGGGCACAGTCCGTTTGCAAATTAGGATGCATTTGATGCTTCCAGAAATGCATTTGTAGTTACTATGCGGCATTTTCACATGTAAGGCCTTGTATTTCAAGCTCTCTGCAAAACTGTTTTTTCAAGATGCTAAGTGATATAAAAAGCTTCTTCTCAAACACTCCTCCTCTTTATCGTGTGGCACGAAGAGCTGTTATTTGGGAAAACAGCACTCGAGCCTCTTGGGCCGCAGAGCTTGCTTTATTGTTCCTTGAATCCCGGGCAGTTTATCTTCTTTGAATGTCACTTCACAGCATGTTGGTCTTCAAAGAGTACTACCAATTATGAAGACCATACTCAAAATACTCTAATGGGTGAAGGCTTGCTTAGCTCTTAATTATTTAGCCAAAGTATGCTTCCTAATAAGCACATTTTGGATTAACTAAACCGAGTGTTAACTGCTGATCTAGTGGAAAAGAAAGACTTGATTTACACACCAGGAAAACGTCTCAACAGTATCACTTCTACAGCTTTTAATAATACTACACAGCTGTCTCTCAGAATGAGAGAACATGTCCATCCTTGTGGCACGAACTGGCAAATTTAATTAAGCTGCTACACCAACAAGATGCTGACTAAGAAAGGCCTGATGTAGGCATGTCAAGTGATTCTAGCAGCTTAAATTAGCTACATTTGACGGAGAGGGAATGGCAGCCTGTCAGGATTATTTCGCAGCGTGCTGCTGTCAAAGCCTTCCGCACACCGCATGCCAAACGCACCCTAGCAGCTCCCTTTCACCTGCGTGGCCAACCTGTTCTGTATATAAACGATGCTTTCATCAACGAATGCCTCTCCTCCTCAGACTGCAGTTTCTATAAAGAGGGATGGGACTGAGTGCATCATTGGGTACCAATCCACACACTCTTGAAATAATGGGAGCTTTTGTCTCCCCATGTTCTTAGCTGCATCCTCTGAGTTCAGTTCCTATATTCCCGGGGCAACCAAGACTATGGCTCCTTCATTCAATGTTCCCAAAATAACCACACACCTTCCCTTGATTTCACAAGCAGTCCTGCCTGCCTGAAGCTGTTCCAGCCAAAACCACAGTTTACCTTAGATACAGTAAGAGCACAATAAACCCTATTATCTGTTCTCCAGTTAATTTTTTTGAAAAACCACAAAACCCCCAAATCATCCTGGTCTGGATGTCATGGGGAACCCCTCATAGGTTGTTTCTGGAACCCCAAAGGGGCTTGGACAAAGCACACACTACCACAAGAAATGGGGTCATTAACACACAATTTACCAGCAAATGTTGCTGTGACATACAAACCAGCTCATTGTCAGGATGCATTCTAAAGGTTCAACCCTAAACAAGATTTACTATGGAATAAACCTCAGTCAATAGAGTGGCGCCTACTTCCAGGTAAACATGGCCTAGAATTGCATTGTAAAACTCTAATTCCTTATTATGCTTATTTGGGAATATGTCCCCAAAACTGTGAGACATTCCCAAGGAAAAATGCATGCCCTTCTCCAAAATATGCAGAAATTCCCTATACATCTATTTAACTTAGAAATTCAGAAAGCTCATACTAGTACCTTTTTGACAGTAACTCAGAAAGGCTTGGAGCCATTGAGAATTTTTCGTAAATGTCTCGCGAAAAATACACACCATGACCATTTTGTGGTGGAATATCCCTGTTTGTGTAAGAAAAGACAGTCAAACATATTAATATGTTAAGCACAGTTATAAAAGCAAGTTCTAAACTGGAGTTAGCACGTTTATCTTGCACTCTGCTTGGGGGAACTAGAAATGTGGCTTACAGAGCTAAGAAATAATAATTTCTATCAAGCAGCAGTTAAGCCACAATTAGAACTGATTTAACGGAATAACATACGTTAAAGTTCTATGAACTTATTTTAATTTATGACATGATCAAAAGTACTTCCATTTCATTACTACAACCTTGGCTACATTCACAGAAAATATTTTGGGGCCTGGGAAATAATTTCCATTAAAAACCATGAGGCTGCACTGTAGGTGTAAATACAGAACTAAATGGTGAGGGGGCCATTCTGAGAATCATCTTACCAAGAAGGAATAAAAAGCTAAAGTGTCTTCTGTCAATTCAATTTTTCACCTTTGCTCCCCCCTCTCATGTCCTCCAATTTGCCCATCAATTGTTGCTATTGATTCATTAAAGGAGTGTTTGTGTTTTACAAGAAGGACCAGAGAAACTGTTACTGTATCTTAAGAAGTACTATTTTGATCACAACAACTGCCTCCCAGGGCTGGAAGAAAGCCTCTTCCCAACTGGGAGAAGAGCGCTGTGAGGTCTTGCCGTTTGCGCCGTTTGACATGTGTTCCTTCTTCCCATGGCTGCTCGGTTTTATCTTGCCTTCTTTTTCTTGCCGATTCACACCGCAGCCTGCCCCGTGCACACATCTGCAAGGGGTCCCACCAAGCTCCAGACTCGCAGAGGGCGCTTCAGCTACAGAAGCACACGGGGCAGGCGGCCTGAATAACGCGGGGAGGCGATTCGGAGCGGCCTCCTCCGGGGAGCAGCGCTTCCCGTGCACCGGCGCCGCGGAGGGGAAGGCCGGGCCAGCGACGGGGCCGGCGGCGAGGCCCCGGGCCGGGAAGGGCACAGCCTTCTCGCCGGGGAACGCATTCGTTTGCACGCGGGGGCGCCGCCGCAAAGCAGCCTCCCCGGGCCTGGGACTACGACTCCCACGGCCAGCTGGAGGAGGCTGGGCGGCGGGGAGGGGGTCCGGGCGGCTCCCCCGGGCGCTGGACTCCAGCTCCCATCAGCTGTGCCCGTGTATGCACGTGCACCTCGCAGCGCGACACTCTCCGCGGCTACTCGGACGCCGGGGCTTGCTCCCAGGGGCCGGGTATGCCCTCCGCGGGCTTATCCCGGAAGAAAGCCCCCGGGCCGCGGCGGGCTCGCTGCGGAGGAAACGTCTTCAGCCTGTCAGAGACCAACGCGCACGCCCTGTTCGGGCGGGACGCGCCGCGCCCTGTAAGGGGCGGAGTGGGCGCTCTGTACACGCGCAGAGGCGCTCTCGCCCCCGTTACCGCTGGGACTGACTGCGCGGCCCCGGAGCTTGGGGCCCAGTCGGGGCCGGCCGGGCGCGGGGAGACGGGCAGCCCCCCGGCGCATCACTCACCAGCGTAAGAGACTCCCACCCGCCGCCATCTTGGGCCTTCTCCGGGCCCGGCGCCGGACGCGTTTCTGCCCGCGTAGCCATCAGGCCTTGATGAGCTTCACCGGCGGCAGGCCGACCCGCGTCCATGGCCCAATCAGCGCGGCGAAGCGCGTCACGTGGGGGCGAGGCGGCCAACCGGCGCGTGGGACGGGGAGGAGGCACAAGGCGGGGCAGCGGCTCTCCTTATGAGGGCAGAACGCTGGCGCCCCTCCCCCTCCCCTTCCCCCCCCCCCCCATTCCCTCACAATCCCCCCCACCAATTTATGCTACAAACTCCAGCAGGAAGTAGCGAGCGTGGCTTATTTAAAGGTACCGTAAGGAAGCCTACGGGGTTGGGAGAGCAGCAGGGAGAGGCCGAGGGCTGCTTGCAGGGGAAGCAGGCGGGGTACAAGCGCGGAGCAAAGCAATCAAACGGAGCTGCAGGCTCCCCGCGAGCCCACCCCCAGAAATGGGGGAAATGCTGGGCCAAGCACCAAGAACTGGCAGTTGCACGGCTTTTTCTCCTCTAAAATGCAAAGATCGTCCTTTGCTATATTCATTTCATATGGCTGGAAATCACTGCTTTACCGGACCCAGTGAGAGGCACGTGATACTAAGAGGCATGCATGAATAGTAATTTGCATATTCTAGTTTTTCCTCCCGCCCCTTCATTTGTGTGTATTTTGAGAGTTGCACGTGCATTTTGATTCTGGAGCACATCCTGTCCACTCAACATTAAAAAGCAGCTAGTTAAAATAGTGACACACTGATTTCGAGTGAGACCCAACAAAGAAAGCTGAACAGCTCTGCTAGAAGCGGTTTGCAGTTCGCTCTCAGCCTCTGAACATATCAATGGTTTAATTTACTAGTACTTCGTATGTATTTTTCCTACATGTTTTAATATATCATGATACCCGTACAAGAGACCTCGCAATAAATTGGATACAAGTAGCACTAACTTAATGTAAGAATAGTTTCCTAAGTAGCCTTGGGTATAGCTTTGATATGAAAAATGACCAGTAAATGTAATTTTTAAAATCCTATATCCTACCTTTTATCTTGCATTTTGCCTGCTGAAGCACTCATTAACTGGAACACTGAACTGTACTTACCTTTCATATTTTCACATTAAGATATGCCTATAAATAAAACTATGGCATAAAATGATTTTCCTCTCAGAAAGGAATATTCTATTACTATCTGCTATTGCAATGCATTGTTTTCGAGAAAATAAAAGGATTGAGCCACTAGACCTCATGGAGGTTATGAGCCGTAACCACTGGTCCACAGTCACCTAGTGAGTTTTTTTTCCTCCTTCTGTGGGATATGAGACTGTATCTTCCTGGTCCTAAGCTGACACTTTAGTCTCTGCACTGTGCAGGGTGCACAATTTAGAAGCTGCTCTTCAGTGTTATACCATGAAACAGGAACTTTTAAGGTGAATTGAAAGGGTTTCACATGCAGCCTTCACTGAGGGGCAAAAGTGCCTCAAGAAGTTTGCATCCAATTATTCCAGCTGCAGGCTTGTTGGAAGGCCAGATGTGCAGACCATACCGAGAGGGCATTGGTCCCTTCAGCAGGTAGGTTCTTAGTGCACCACAGCTGCCCCGAGTCACCCCGGCTTGTGGCTGATTTGGGAATTGCTCCTCTGCCCCTTTCACTTGCACTGTTTTCTGACGTGACAAATGAATGCGACAAAGGTTTCCATTAGAAGCTGACGTTTTATTACAGGAGAAAAGTACATAAAGCACATCTAAAATTGATGTGTTCAATGCACTTAATAAAGGTAATGTAATATTAAAGGTACAGGTTCTAAGTACAATATAACAACATTCATATTAGAATGAAAATCAGAGTATTTAAAAGACAACATTAAATCTCTTAATTTTACAGTTGTATTTACAAAATGAGTCAAAATACTTTATTCAGGATCAGAATAAAATAACAAACAGTTGAGTCTAAGCTGAGAAGTCAAAGGTGTGTTCTAAAGATCTGGCAGAAGTGAAAAGGTTAGGTGATAACGGGGCAAAGATCATTAGCGAAGTGTTATTACAATATTATTTTTAATATTCCTCTCAATGGCTTATGCTTGCATCATAGCTAGAAAATGAATTTGTACATACTGTACACATAAGACAACACATTTTTGCAGGTACAGTACAGAATTTTGTCAATTTGCAGTTATTTACAGAAGACTGAGTGTGTTACTCAGTGAGGTGGGTGATGTTTATGTGCTTAATCCTCAGACCAATACATATTTATAATCAGCATTTATTCTTATTCTTCAGACATTTAATTACATGAGAAAGAGTACTCACACAAACTTGCATAATTTATAAAACAATGGAGGCAAAACAATCAGGGGAAACATGACCAGTTTATAGCATGTGACACAAACATTAGACAAATTAAAATATCCTCCGTTTAAAGGTGCCTTGAAGCAGAGAGGGAATGAAAAAGAACCAAGGACTTGCACCTGAAAGAAGGTGGCCAATTGTTAAAGCAACTTTTTCAAACGAATTATCCTGAAAGTGATTGTACTTAAACTTTCTATGCATTAAAATGTAGCCAGGGGTGCAGATACAATTTGTATTTTGATTCCAGAATAATGGGTCGCAGTGCATGGGGAAGGGCTCGTGGCTGTAATATTCACTAGCCTCTAGTATCAAAAAGTGCAGTAAACAAACAGCTTAAATTCTTCAAAAATCTTTGCTAAAGATCTTATAACTTCAGTAATAGTACAGAAAAGTGTTGTAATAAATATCTTAAAGTTCATTGATTCCCCATGTTAGATATTTGATATCCATTAAGTTTTTGCAAGAGATTAAACGGGTGGTGAACAAAAGGGGCGAAGTTCTAGCAAAACTGGTACCACAGCGATGTGTTTATTTAAAAGGTCACTATTTCCCAATAGTGGTCATTTTCGCTGCCAAATTCAGTTCAGAATTAGGCTGTGCAATTTGTTGTGCTGGCAAGAACTGCACAAACACACCCTCTGTGATAATTTTTGGGATTTATAGCATGCTTCTAGTTCAGAGCAAGAGAAGTGCCCATGCTTAAAAGCATGAGGGGAACAGACTGGTAAAGCAGGGACAGCAAGAAGCTGATCCACATCTCGCAAGATGCATTCATTGCTCTCTGGCGCGACCAGCAACCTGTCTGAGCGCTAAGGACACTCCTACGCCTTCCTAAAAGCAAGTCTTACTCATTCCCCAGGCGTGCTTGCAAGCAACGGGTCTTAGGTTTGCAGCTCTGGGGACCAGCTGTATACCCCGTGCACACTGAAAGAAAGTACGATTCATGGGGTTATGTCTTTGCTGAGATTCAGTCCTGGCGGTTTCTGCGGTCTCAGAACCTCAGACCAAAATGTTTATCCAGTTGCCGGCGTGTGCCTGAACCTGCCCTATTTTGTTTACGAGGGGGCTGGCTGCGTGCCCAAGGAATTGTCCCTTCTGCATACAGGGAAGTCCCTCTCTTACAGGGAAGAATGAGGAGGAAGGCCCTCAGGTGCACAGGTATCCGGGACTTCAGTCCCAGGCTGGCGATCCCGGGCCTCTCGCACAGTGGAGCTGCGGGTACCCAGAAAGGCTGAAGCGGGCCAGTGGGCCCGCACAGCTGTGTCGCATCCACCGCAGCACTGTTCTGGCCTTGGGTGACGCACAATGCGGGCGAGACGTACGCAGGCATCCTGCCCCTCCTGGAAGGACAAGCTTGTCTGGCGTGGGGAGGGGCTTTCTCGATCCTTCGTGGTCACGGCAGAGCCCCCACCTGCACTGCTTTTCCTTGCACACCCTAGGAATGTTGGGGTCCCGAGACATAAGCTTGCGCGTGGGGGGTGTCTATCCCCACAGGATTGTTTGTGGGGATGTGTGATGCCCACAGGGGGATGCCGCAGGGCTGCTCGAGTGTCAGACCCAGGACGGAACGGAGTATTTCAGATGCCGGCGGATTTCACCCCTGGAATACTAATTCTCTCTCACCTCCACTAGATCTCTGAATCGTGGCTGGGCACTTTTTAGTGTAAACTCTCCTTTTCCGCAGCCCCAGAGGGCATTATTGTCCCTGCGATATAGTCCTCAACTATGGATTCTAGGGATACCAAATTGCAACATGAAGGAATTGCGAGCACTGAATCTCAGGAAGAACGAGGATTCTACGGATTCCAGAGAAGAGCCATTTGGCGCACAAGTGACCTGCTTGGTCTTCTCCACGACGTGCTTGCAGGAATGCAGCACTAAAAAAACAGCTTGGCTTGAGCGGTTTTACAGATCTTTAGCCGTACGCCTGGGGGCTGCACGGGGGAGAAAAGGAGGCGAGAAAAGAAACGACAGTGGATATCAAATATCGGGACTGAGGAGTTAATTTTCTCCGGTTCAATATGCTAGAGAGAACTTTCTAGAATGATACTATCTATTCAGAGAGAAAACGATGCCCCCAGTCTAGTACTCTGATACAGGGTACGCAGCTGGGCATGCGTGTCCGTGTGTATATGGCATATACACAGAAATATTCAGTGAATTGTACAAGACCCACCATGTGGTATTGGAATAAAGTGGGAAAGGGAGATTTGTTCAAAAAAACCAACTCAACGAGCACCACACGTCAGAAAAACACAAAAATAGCACACTCTAGTTCTAAACAGCTATTTCTAAAATAGAGTATATAGTAAAACAGATATTATACAGTATAATGTGGTATTTGATAAACAGATAAATATTTGCACCGCATAGGCCTTTTAAATAGTATATCTTTATCTATAGAGAATGAAAGTAAAATAGTTATAACCATACAGAAGGTGAGCAACACTCAACAGTATGACTCAGAAGCTGGGACAAAGATAATGACATAAGAATTAGAGCAAGAGAAAATGTATACAGGCCATTACAAGTCCTTAAATTAGTAGTAAAATAAGGAGTTGGTTGACCGAGTTTAAGAAAGCAGGTAAACAAGAGATTTGCATTTACATGCAGATGTCTAAAATTTGTATTTCTTTTAAATCTATGCACAAAAAGTCATTGTTTTTATTGCTTGACATTCAGTTATGGCTAGAGTATTTTTTAACCTTTATTTTGTACTTTGGAAACAAGAATATTGTTAAAGGTGCCATAAAATGGACAGCACTGAAAAACAGGTTTGCAAATAAACCAACTAACACTGCAGTTCTCCTTACATTTTTAAAAGCCTTGTCTGGGGTTTGTCGTACGTTAAATATATTTAAAGTGGGAAAATACATCATAGCTAGAAGCCTCCCATTGGCTCAAACAACCATACAAAAACACATCTCCGAAAAAAGGAGCAGACAGACAATAGAGTTACGTATAAAGAAGCAGCCAGTTAATGCCCTAATAGTCAAAAGAGTTACCACTGTGGTTTCTTTCTACAAATTTGTCGAGTCAAAATAGAAAATTTTGGAATTAGGAAAATATATATACAGTACCTCTGCAGTTTGTGAAATAAACTTCACGGTATTGCTTATGAATTTTCTGCATTTCGATACGAGAATAACAAACAGGTTTCCGGGTCCTGCACATTTATGCATCTTCAGTAAAACTTGCTAAGGAGTACGGGTGAGGACCGAGTGTGTATCGTGAAAAATACACGACAAAGAAAGAATGTAGCATAAAGGTGCCATGCCATGAGCTCAGCAGGTGGGGTGGTTTGTGTCCAAAGGTGCAGTGGGATGAGTGGTAAAGACACTTGCATTCGCTTAGTAAAATCTAGCATTTGAAGGATGACTCTTAGCTTGCACTTTCAAAATGCCTCAGTGCACAGGAACTAAGCTTTTCATATTTGGATTAAGTGGATTTATTGCTCTGAAGAGTTAATATTATGCCCTGCTTCCAAGAAATGTGAAAATTGAGGCATACATATACTTAAATCAATGGCAGATTGCATCCTCTTTCATTCCTGGAGTTGTCTCCAAATCTTAAAAAAAAGTTTAAGGACAAGCTAATTTAAATGTAGAGTTTTAAGCATGCCATGTCCACGTACCTGTTTGAATTGGCATTTTAGTAGTGAATTATCATAGCGCAATCCCACCAGAGAAGGGAACAGTGATGGGCTGTTTCTAAAACTTTCCCTTTTGGTAACACGTTAATCAACTGGCAATGAACTGGTTAACTGTATCAGACTTTCCCTTTAACAGGAGTATGCCACTGAAGCAGTGTTAAAAGCCACAAATATTCCACTAATTCACACTGTCACTGACGTTTTAGGATTGCTTAAGAACCATTTTAAATCACGGGATATATAGCTGCAGAGAAATGTTGCTTTTGCAACATTTCCACCGCTTCTTCCTGACCCCCTCGATGCCTTACATCAGCTCCGCAAGCTTTCAGGTGGGTCTAAGGAAGGAATCTGAGAAGCAGATGTCTTGGGTTCTGTCAAAAGACGTACAGACTGCTAGTTTGGCCACGGCACTGCGGTTTTATCCCCTCTGCAGGTGTGACAGGGCAGTGAAACTGTCATCGCTGTTCTGTAATATCCCGGAGCAAAGCTTCGGATCCAGTGAATGAACAGATCCTTTTCTACAACTATTCCTTCTCCAAGCAATGCTTTGCCGACAGCTTTGAAGATCTTTATAACAGGGGTGTCAAACTGCTTTCAGCCCAAATGCCAAATGTAAGATCAAATCATCTATTGGGGGCTGATTTCCAAGGAAGCCCATCCAAAACACACTTTAATTTAACTTAATTTTTGCCTCTTACTGTTGTAGAAGTGGCATTTCAACATTTTCAGTTTGAAAGATTCAACACACCTGCTTTGCAGTATGCAAACAAGCCTTTAAAACATTTGAGTACTTCTCATACAGTATATTTTAGGCTTAAGTTGCAAAAAGATAAATTGGACAGGGCAAAAAAAAAAAAAAAGATTATTTCTACAATCTACCCTTTCAAAGGAGAGCCGTAACATAAACACAAGATGACCGTGTCATGGGAGATTATGTTTCCTTTTCTCTGGTGGTTTCTATGAATAAATGTATTGCAATGCCATAGCAATTGGAACGGAAAACACAACAGGTAGGAGACAGGATCTGGAACTTTAAGAAAGGGTGGCTGGGGAAGAAAATCCAGATGGATAGCTGAGATGATGAAATCAAACTTTCTTTGGCCTGACTGTTAACTAGCGTGACTTGCAAATTCTTGTCTTATTTATTTCCTTTACAGCATCTCATGATTCTTAACAAACCTGGACACAGCATCCCACCTCCAAGAGAGTGTCCTGTGCACACTCCAATTTGGGCCTGGAAATCTTCGCTATGCCCCCATGTTTGGCACAGAGTTGGCACTTGTTAGTTGCTACATATTTTTTATTAGTTTTGGAATTACATGCGGGCTGATACTGCATCACTTAATTTTTTTGGTTTTATTTTGTTCAAGTGCAGAAACACGTACGTGTCAGAAGTCTGGGCAGTGTAATATTCTGCTTGCGTTCTGAGTTACTAATGGTAATGATGAGTTAGGGTTCATAGCTTTTGAACATGTGTGGTACAGTGAATTTAAGCACCAATGATGGATTCTGTGTTGCGGAATACTGACACCAAAGGGAAATCCTATGCAGTTTAGAGACAGAAAAGCCCCACAACTCCTAACATCTCCCAGAATTGTAAGGCTTTCTTCCTGCGTAAATTTGCCCATGATTGTACCTTTATTTTTACATGAAAGTATGTACTTTGGACATTATGAAGCCAAAATTCTATGGGTACCCAATTAAGCCTTTCAAAACTGTTTTTTTTTTTTTAAAGGAAGAAATTTAGAAAATATAGGGCAAGTTGGCTCGGCCGTATCTGCTAGCATACTCTGGTTTGTCTACCGTTATTTTCTAAAATCTCCACATTCAGCAAGATGGCATAGAGAATTCTACAACAGGAAGTTTTTCCGAACATTGAGAAACATTAGAATGGTTCATTGCATGCATCAAAATTAGCTCTCTTCTCTAACACACTACACAAAACACCCTGCTGCTTTGGAAGTAGTTTGTTGTATTTTGTGCCAACTGCTGGCAGGATCAAGCAGAAGAGGTGTTTGGAAACCGATTTCCATTCAGACAAGCGTGTGTCTGCCCAGTTCAGTTGCGCAATGGAGGGATGGTACTAAACTTTCAAAAAGCAATTTTCCCAGAAGTACTGGCCACCCTGTTCAAGAGTTTTAAAGATCCCTGAGCACATGTTAGTTTCAGACTTTTAAACCCCAGCTTCTGAATGATAGGGCATCTATTACTGATAACAAGATGGATTGTCATTCACAGTTAAATCAATCATAAGGTGCTTATATACCCTTTTTCTTCCCCAATTCACACAAAGAACTGTCAGATTTTTTTTTTTTTTTAAATGGTGAAAGGCAGGGCATGGATGGTCAATGCTTTTTGGCAGTGGCGTTAGGATTATTATCTGGCTGCCCCTTGACAACAAGTGATTCAATCAACAATCCTTAGCAAAAGAAAAAAAGGAGGGAGTGGGGAAACCAACCTGTACAACAAATATGTATTTTTCCCTGAGGGATCAAGGTTAAAACCTGCAAGTGCTCTATGTACATATTGCACTATAGAGGAATGACGAATATGTGCAAAAAAGCAACAATGATTGAAGCTTACTAATACATCTTTTCTTTTAATGATTATGCTATGTCTTCGCACGTTATGGAATGTCGGTAACACAAGTAGCTTTTCTGTGATCTAAAACTTAAAATGAAGCCCCACTACCCACATCTCCTGCTATGGCACATTCAATGAAATAAAAAGTTTTTCAAAGACAAGTAGACAAATTCCATCAACAAAAATAATACAAAGTTGGTTAGTTTGTTTTTTCTTTTTCTTTTTTAGAAAAATTACATTGCTTTCTTTCATTGTTTCACATTACAAAATCTGCTTGTTTGTTAATCTTTACACAAATCACATTTTATTGCAGGAATATTTCAAGTGCCATCAAATATTTATAGAAGGGTTAAAAAAATAGAAGTCTCTCTAAGTGGTCCAGACAAGGCTTTATAATAGAATTTTTTTCCACCTTCTATTTTTTGACTTAAATATCTTCAACACATTTTCTTTATTCCATGGACACTTAATGGCCTAGAAGCAACCGTGCACACACACACGTACACCCCAAACGTACAATGATCACACATTCAGACCTTGGTATCCAAATAAGGATGATAGAAAACCTCCATAAAAGAACCACCAAACTTAAAACAGTATCTCACGTCAGGTCATTTCATAATTTAAAAATAACAGGAACATGCTAGAGAAGAAAAGGACACCACTGTGGCCCAGGACTACACAAATGTTTAGAAGTTTGAAGGAGAAACGAGATGAAGAAAACATCAGTGCCATATGTCCAGGAACATGGGATGAAAGATGAAAACCCAAAACAAGTGGAACAGACATCTTTCTGGAGTTATTCTAGCAGCTACTGCTATTTTATATAACTTCAAAGGTTATAGTAGAGTCTGGAAAGACAAGTATTGCCACATTTCATATCTATAAATTCAGCCTGCAGCCTGCAAGTTTTCCAGCAGCCATCTTCAGATTTTAGACCTTAATCTCAAGTACTGGGCTTTTGTTTTATTCTTTTTGGTCAGATAAGTTTTCTCCCTGCTCCAATGCTGAGAACAACAAATTGCTCACTCCGTCGCGAGTCCTTTTGCATGTCCTCTTTTAAAGAGCCATCAGCAAGAGATCTCACCGTTTTCCCATTGCCAAAGCGTAATTCGCGAATAACTTGAGATGAATCAAACATCTCCGCACTAGTTTATGACCAGTGACTAGCAGCGTCCACGATTTTCACTTAAGATAATGGCGTGTCTAACGTTTAGACATAAAGTGCTTGACTTTCAAAAAGGAGCACAAACGACTCCCACGTTTAGGGACATAACTGGAAGTAAGGACAACTCCATCCTCTAGGCATATTCTGTATGGGGGGGAAAACAGCCACGAAAGACTAGAGCTTCGGTACGCAAGGAATTCGCCCTATGCTTGCGGTTCGCTATTCAAGCTGGCTTGGGGGGGCTTTGCGTAGCTTTGTTTTCCTCCAGGGCCTCGCTGATATTTTGCAGCACTTCCTGTGCTTTTTTTTTTTTTTTTTAAAGAACTAAGAATAATCGGCTTTCTCTGAGCCAAAACAAGGCCAGGTATTTCAGCTACTGCAATGCCGCCTTCTGCTGGGCAATGGAAGCCACAGGAAGACAGAGAAAGAAAAGCGTGCAAAGGACGTGCTCTTACACACACAAAGAAAACAGAAAAAGAAGCCTCGGAGAGACGCCGAGCAAACGCCTCATGTCAGGAAGCCAGCAGAAACTCGCAGTAACAGTAGCACAGGCCTTGATTGGAAGTTGGTGTGAAAACACAGTTATCCTATTAACCGCCACAAGCAACTCCAGTTTGCTCCTCTCTTAAACCCACTTGATACTTTTTTGCCTCGAGTAACTGGAAGACCTTAACTAGGCCTGGGTTGGGAGCTGCTGCGGTCTTAGTTAAGCTGAACTTTAACCAGATGGGCACCTGAGGCTGGTCACCTTCAGAGAACTCGAGTACAGAATAGCTTGCTTGAAGCACAGACTCCATAAAGCACAGAACTGACGTTTCGTTCCAGTTCCTTGACTAAAATAAATAACACTTTTGCAGATGGAGAGGCACTGCCCATGTACTGAACAGGATTTGCATTTCCGAAAATAGCTCCAGACTAATTTGCAAATCCTGCAGAATGGGTGAGAGAAGCAATGACATTCGGGACCCTTTCAGAATTCCATTCATGGGATATAATCCAAGCCCACCAAGCTTCCGGTCTCAACCTTTTCTACAAAGAAACACACACGGCATGTTTATAAGGTCTGTCTGACAGAACAGCACAAGCTCCTGTGGGAACAGTGCTCCGGATGCACACCTGTGTGCATGAAACCGTGGAGTAAGCAAAGCCTCAAGGTGGATCCCTGGTGATCCCAGGAAGGGAACGCCATAATGGGGCCTGCTTGTGTTTCCTATTCGCTCACCCCATGCACCGGATTGCTTCGTACTAGCTTAATATCGCCCGCATAAATGCCTGGACAGCATAGATGACGCTGAGGGCACAATTTGGAGAAACTCATGGGATGACGACCCCAAATGCTGGCAACCAAACGCACAGCCCCTTCCGCAGCAGCACTGTCACAAGCGAACGGCATGTCTGCATGAGCGGCGGCCCTACGTGATCCCAAAGTGCTCGGCCTTTGGGGCGGTGCGAACTAGGCCAGGGTAGGTCAATCGGGCATCAAGGGGATTTTGGCTCACACAGCCAAATCTCAGCCTCTGATTTAATGCTGGTTCTAAGTTCAGTGCAAACTGTACCGTGTCCCCGTTTGCTTGCACATTACGGCCTTTTGGAATTCATCAAGATTTGCCTTCCCTTCACGGGATACTGAAAAACTAAGTCCTAGAACGGACTGTCGAGACCAAATGTTAGCCTCAGGTCTCTTGACTGACTGAGCTGCCTGTATATTTCTCAAGGGTTCCAAGAAAAGGCTAACCGGGATCCAAGGCAGATCCCAGCACAAAGATTCTCTGGCAGCTTCCTTCGTAGCAATTCCATATTACCGCAAATGTGTGAATCATGCAACCTACAACCCTCTAGCATGCAATCGCACTCCAGCTGGTTAAAAAGACTTTCTTACCTCCCCAGAGGTCATGTATTGTAATGCAAAAAAGGCCTTAGGCATACAAACTGCAAAAGATGGTTGACACCAATATTTTTTCTGGACTTTATTTCATAAACCTCGATAAAACTCATGTCTAAGACAGCTTGTTGATTTGTCATCTGGATACTGAAGGATGTTAGATTATAAAAAAAATACTTTTATTTATTATTTATTTAGAAACAGAGAAACCGAACGAGTCAGAAGGGGTCTCCTGGGCCATCTAGTCTGACCCCCGACTCCAGCCGGCTCCGCTCACGACATGCCCACCATGTGCACGTCCAAAACTTTTCTATACCGTCCTATAGACGTCTTGGGACAGTTTAACTTTTTACTTTTAAAAAATAACGGATAGGAAGTAGAACTTATTGAATAGCCAGCTATAATGACACAAACCTTTACAGCACTTTAAAGTTTGATAAATTTCCATCATCAAAAAGGTGGTCAGAGCAAACAGTGAACTTTGGAATAATCCAGAGCTCTTCATCTGTCAAAAATAATACCAAAAAAAAGGGTATGGAAAAGGTTCCCATTTCTAGCTTCCCGTGTTCAGTAGGGTCGATGATTTAATGCAAACAGAGACGGATCAGGGAGTCAGCAACAGATTGAGTTAAAACATTCTGGGTGAATAAACCAAGCCTATCAGCACAATCCCATGCGTGACCCAGAAGTAAGTCTTATGGAGCTCAATGGGACTTACTTCCAGGTAGGGATATGTAGAACTGCAACCTTAGTAAGCAATCTCAGGCATTCTAGATTAAGTAAAAATATTCCCTAAAATGAATTACATTGGAATTATGCTTCAGACATGTCTAGGTTCATATGGAATTGCTACGCTTGGAAGGAAGTCCCAAGAGACTGCAGAAATGCTCAAGGGAAAAGCTCTTTTTTCAGTCTAACAAAAACCTTTAACATGTGTTGTTTTTTTAAGGAGCAGCACCCCAGAGCTCCACAAATGCAAGACTGTGTCTTTGTTTTCCTCCTCCTCTTCTGAAAACAAACGGAACCCAGATGTGTGATTCACCATTGCTTGAAGCAACCCTACAGTTTGTGTGAGACAGCAATTTGCTTTTGGGAGACTCAGTGTCAGCGGTAGGTGCTGGATACTTCCAGGTAGCCTAATTCAAAGCCATCATGGCGGTCTACTTGCCCCACCAAGAAGGCCAAGTGCACCCAGACTGCCATCTTGGTGTGGAAAGTCATTTGTGCAAAAGGGCAACCTTGCAGTTTGCATCCAGCGGAGACCCCCAGCCTCCTGCCTCTTGAGCTGAACCTGAGGGAAAGAATGGAATATTGAAAGGGAAAATGCACGCAGCTTGGGCCATTCCAAGGGTTTGTTTCTTTAGGATTGGCTTCGCCATTTTGACTTCATCCATTAGTCACAGAACTGATTATCCTGGGCAGTGCCACCAGTATGATTCTGGGTACAGAGGGCGAAAGGGTGCAGCATTCCTTAAAACCAATTTCTTTGCAGGCGCAAAGCCGATTCGGGTGAATTTTGACTTCGGATGCTGCGGGAACCTGTTCAAATGGCCTTGCCTAGTTTTTGGAGTGTGGAGTGAGCTGGATATCCGCGCTTCACGGTCCAAAAAGGAAGCAGTGCAGCCACACAGCAAACCACCACCCGAACTTAAATACTAGCTAGATTTAAGCCACACATTGCATACCAGTTGAGATAGGAATGAGGCCCACCATTCAGGTTGACTGGGGCATGCTGGGAACCGCAGGCTTTTTTGCTGTGCAAACCTGCACGGGATCGAACCTTTGGGCAATCCTAACTCAACCCTAGCTTTAAGTCCGTGGACCCAAGTAACGCCGCGGCATTTTGTGTAGCTTCCAATCATCTCAATGGAGACCACACAAAAGATCCTTTAGGCGTCTCGTACCCTCCAAGTCTCCTCAGTCTATGATTTAGTGACACACACACACACACACCATGCACACAAATGTAAACAAAGGTTTCAGGACCAATATTTCCAAAACACAAATGTCTAAATTTGGTTGTCTGAATCCATATGTAGTCACTTAGGTAAGTGGGTTGACTTTAAAGGTGCTGCTAAAAATCAACTTACTTGGTCAAGTGAGTAGATACAGATCGCTTTATCCCTATGTCGGCAAACAGGTTTAAGAACAGGGATTTTGTTCAATACGAAAAATCTGTCTTTTAAAAACATGAGCAAAAATGAAGAGTTGAGCAACGCGTCTTCCCTGCCCCCTCCCTGCCTGGGGATCCGAACTCGCTGAAGGTGTTTCATGATACAACCAGCCTCTCTCCAAAGGGAACTACGGAAAACAGCAGCGGAAACACCTCCGAGGGTCCCGAACCCTTCCAAACCTCTCTCAGTGAAACTTGAATTTCCGGTATACGTGCAGCACAACGAAGAACACGGCTAGCATACAATTTAAAAGAAAAAAGGTGCAAAATGAAAGTGCCTTATCAATTCAACAATAAAAGCTATACCAGTAACTACATTTTATATTAATTAAAACAATATATAAACAATATTTCTTTTGCTATATAGAGACATCATGCTCATTTACCCTGTAATAGATTGTAATGCTATTGTCGCTATTGCTCTGGGCCCTCTGCGTGCCATTCCACCTACTGGCTGTCAACGGGAGGGGGGAGAAGCCATCGTCCTTCATGAAACAATTAGCAAGTTGTGCAAATCTGATGCTGAAGCTTCTGCACGATAGTCGCTGGTTTCGGGTGGAGAACAGGAGACCCTGCTCGTACCAACAAAACATTGTCCTACAAAAGTCTGGGCAGCGGGTGGCCCGGGGAAGCCACCCTCCTGATTTTGGGTGCCCTCCTTCTGTGTAAACAGAGGTCTATGAGTGAGAAGTCGCGACAGAAAAGGGGCCCGTGTCGGTAGGCATCCTGGAAATCAAATGCATGAGAAAAACAAGTTCTACGCTTGTTTCCTTTCCCCCATCCTTTTGCCTGACCCCGTTCGCCAGAAGCTGTGCAGTGTCGGGCCCCCCAGGACTACGCAGGCCCACATAAAGTGTCTTGGTTTCTTTTCTGTTTTTTCCTTTGCTGCGTGAATGTTTGTACTTCAGACATTCTAGAAGTGCTTAGGCAAAACGTTTACCCATCCATTTGCATTGCTGGCTCGAATTCTGAAGTGAACAGCTCCTTGTACAATGGGGGGAAATGCAGTCGCACAATGTCTGGGTATATTGCTCTAAAGGCCATAAGCTTTTCTGTGTGTCGCCCGCACAGTGCTCTTAAAGTAGACACTTTGCATATTAGCTGTGGAAGGAAAACCAACACGAGTTAGGCCCGCAAACGAAACCATTCGGGAATTTCGTTCTGCTCCGTGAATCAGCGCCCTCGCCACACTCCAGCTGGGACCCGTCGGCTACAGAATAGCCTTCCAGCATCGCATCTCCAACAACACCCACCGAGTGTGTTTCTTGCGCGGTTGGGCAGCCTCATGCATGGGATTTTAGGGGCCTGTGCAAGCGGCATCCCTCTTCCAGATCCCCGGCAACCACCGTTCAGGCTGCTGCAGCCCGTGGCCTGCTGTGCCCCGCGAGTGTTTGCAGACTTCCTTTTGGCCCAGCTCCTGAGAGCATGAGAGGAATTCTGCAAGAGGGAGGGATTCCACTGGGGCTGGCCCCAAAGGGTCACAACAAAGCCCCGAACTGTGCTGCAGAGGCGTAAAGCGCTACACTGCGGAGTCTACTTAAGGGACGCTTAAGATCCGCCCGATTGTGGCACCCGCTGCAGCCGTTACCTTTGTTAAGATTCCGTCTTCCCGGTGGTTCTTCTGTAATATATGCTGAAGTGCTAGCTGAATCTTCTGCTGGAGCTTTTCTATTTTTACCTTCTCCTGAAGCCATGATCGGTCTAAAACGAAAATAGTCAAACATCTGTGTTGTTCTTTCAGTTCGCAATATCTATCTACATATACTATATTTAATCTCCTCCTTGCTACATTTGGAGTTTTAATCACAGTCCAGGGTGATTTTATTACTTAGGTTGAAAGTCTTGCATATGAAACTAAATATGACGACTAAATCCAGCACTCAAATTACACTGCAGTTCTTGTAGGGAGTACCTGGGGAGGGTTGCAAGGGTGCATAAAATGATGCAGGATTAACAAGTACCTGCGAAGGAGATATTCTGCAGTCCAGCAAACATACACATTTTTTCTTTTTAACGTACTTTATACAGAAGTCCATTTATGCAAAGCCATATAGCAAATACTTGTTTACAGTGGGTTTCCTCCAGCAAGGTTGAATTAAACAATGGGGCCATCAAAAAGCAACATAAAAATCTGGCTCGGCTGACAACATTTCTGCTACAGCGCCGAGCAGAAACAGTTTTGACGGCTGACCAAGAGATTTCTCCATATATAATCCAACCCCCTTAACCAAGGAATTAGCAGGACCGGGTGGCCTAGCCGTCTGTGTTTCAGCACTTGAAGGGTGATGGTGAGGACCACAGGCTGAGTTCACACAGACTCACCTGGAGAGAGCGCAAGCAGAGACTTGCACCTGAAACAGCCTCACGGTTAAATACTCGCCTACTCTCATCTCAAGCAGAGTAGACCGTCAAGTAACTCGATGCATGTGTGAAGCAGCCCCTAGACTCAGGTCAGGTGTGCCATTCTAACACCAGTAGCGTCACGTTCCATCTTAAGCGGGTTTTTCTGAAGCACAGCAAGCCAGCATTTATTGCTGGCATTCTGGGGACGGGGCGTTATGCTCACATGACTCCAGTCCTCCGTCAGCTTCATTGGCTCCCCATTGAAGTCCGGGCCCAATTCAAGGTGTTGGTGATGACCTATAAAGCCCTAAACGGCTTGGGTCCTGGCTACCTGAACAAGCGCTTACGTCCGTATATGCCCAACCGCCCTTTGAGATCTGCGGGAGAGTCCCTTCTCCGGGAACCCTCCGTGAAAGAAATTAGGAGGGTAAGTACTCAGAGGAGAGCTTTCTCTGCGGTGGCACCCAACCTATGGAATTCACTCCCCAAAGAGGTCCGCCTGGCACTGTCGTTACTGGTTTTTCGGCGCCAGGTAAAGACCTTTTTATTTAAACATCATTTTAATTGTTAAAATATATGATCTGGCCAGGGCAACTTCTTCTTCCTTCTCTTTCCTCCTCCTATATTCTTTATTTACTTATTTTATACTGTTAATTTTAATTTTATATTATTGTATCTCAGTGTATTTTTTGTATTTTTGTATTTATTGGTAATTTATTATGTTCTATTGTATTTCAATGTATCTTATTGTGTTGTAAGCCGCCCCGAGGCTTTGGCAAGGAGCGGCATAGAAATGTAATAATAATAATAATAATAATAATAATAATAATAATAATAATAATAATAATTCTTAGAAATCCTGGATGACTTTTCCTTCTACTTTTGCAATTTTCCAAGCCTGGGCCTGACCCAGCAGGGCTGATCCACGTCTGTTCATATGTTTTCTGCCATCACTTTCTTGTAATACAGAAACTGTTTTTCATAAATGCTGGAAAATTAAATCAGGTTTTGGTAATGCACCAGGATGATGAATCTGAGCCATCTGGTATAGCTATCCTGGTCCTTCCAGCAGATTAGTTTATTAATTTAATGTCTATACTACCCACTAGCCAAAGCCCTCTGCGTGTTTTACAACAGTATATAAAATGCAATCTGAAATACAGATAACACTGAAAACATTGGAAAATTTACAACCTCCAAAAGCCAAATTAAAAACCCTATTTAAACAAATATGACAGCTGGCACAAGCTAACTCAAACACAAGTCTTAAATATTGATTAAGTACTGGAAGAGAAGGAAGAGCAGCATTTGAGGTTGATAATAATCAAATTACATTTCATCGTCGTAGGATATCGCCAAGTATTAAAGAAAAGCATAAAATAACATAAAACCTTTTCACCAAGGGTTAGAGCGAATCTTACCTGCAGACAATAAAACAAAAGCTGAAAATAATGCAATCTCATCTTCAGTAAGGTGCATAGAACATAAACTCTTTCCAAATTCAAAAACAAAACTAATGAAATCTTCACAACCTGTGAAAACAAACAAAAGGCAAGCATCAGGCAGAGTCTCTTTCAAAAGGATAGAAAAAAATAAATCCCCTAAAAAAAATAAATCAAGAAATAGTTAAAGGTCCCTTCTTCATGTTAAAGTGCAGTGTGTAACGTGAATTAATAGTGTTTCCATCAAGGATAGGCTGGACATGCACAGGTAGGTATCTCACAAGCAGAGCCGGGGGTCAGACTAGATGGCCCAGGAGACCCCTTCTGGCTCGCTCCATTTCTGTGTTTCCAAAGGTCTTCATCCAGCTCACATTCAATTCTGCGTAGCCCTAACATGCACCCATCTTAACCTATCTTTTGCTCTTGCACAAATGATGCAGCAGGACTTGAATACTGTGTCCTACTTTGGTTCTGCACACAAACCAGGATCGTGTTGTGCTGGAAAAAGCGAGGAAAAGAGCAAGTCAGGTGAGGACCGCTGAGCTTGTTTAGAATCACAGAACAGTAGAGTTGGAAGGGGCCATGAAGGCCATCAGGTCCACCCCCTGCTGTTGCAGGACACCATGTTGCACCATCTCAGAGGGCTGCCCAGTTTCTTTTTGCTTAGCTTAGAAGGAAGGCAGGCGAGAGGTGGTGGAGGAGTTTCTTTATGCCTGGTGTGAAGAATGTGACGTTTTCCTCCATCTTCCACCAAGCTGGGACCCAGTGGGGTCCCCTCCATGACCCAGCACTGATCTGCTTCTGTTTACACATTCTCTGGGCAGCACGGGGAACCGGGAAGCAAGACACACGAGGACCGGCAAGCCCGAGCACGGGGTACCCTCTGCACGCAGCACAGATACAGGTGAGCTGCCACCTGGCCGGATGGGGACCCTGCTGCTTCCTGACTTCACGTGCACGGCGAGGTGGGGATGACTGGGGCCTACATGTCCAGGCTGGGCACACTGTCTCAATCATCCGTCTTCACTCAGTCCTCTAGGAGCAATTCCTCAGCTCAAGACCTTTTTATTCAAGCGGCATTTTAACTGTTAATATTATTGGATTTTATCTGGCTAGGGCGGCTGATTTTATACTGTATTTTTGTATTTTTAATTTAATGTTTGTATTTTTGATTTATAATTATTTTAACTTATTATTTAACCCCGAGGTTTCGGCAAGGGGCGGCATAGAAATGTTATAATAAAAAAATAATAATTGTTGTAAGCTGCCCCGGGGCTTCGGCAAATGGGGCGGCATAAAAATGTTTTAAAAAATAAATAAATAAAATAAATAAGCATCGGCATACGTGGTTCCGGGCTGCAGCCCTCGTTCAGCATGTCTTGCTTCACACAACTTAAAATGCACAGAAGGGATTCTGACAGCATTCTCCACAACCTCACAAACAGGATAGTGACTTGCACAGCCCCAATTCCTATCCTGAATCTTGTACGACAACCCAATGCAGAGTAGTTTTTTTACTACCCCTTCTCTCCCACTTGACTATAAGTTAATGCACGAAGTGCCTTCAGCATTCTTCTCAGTGTTTTACACTTTTCTGCATACCCAGGTGTCAGTGAATCTGGGTGCTGAACAATTAATAAATCCTGACAGTTTTTCACTGCTGCACTGCCAGGATCCACTTGCTGTTACCTCCAGGTATATTTAAACTCATTATATGAATTCTTGGATGCCTCCCAGCATTTGCACAAAACTGAGAAATGATTAGATTACAAAAATAATAGAGCTTCTCTTTTGGAATGCTTAAATAGGGTGTCTGACGTGAATACCACCCTATTTCAGGATTTCAGAAGAGGGTAGCTGTGATGGAGTCTGCAGCTCCGACGACCGATGGAGGATAATTTTCTGCGTGCATTTTTGAAAACAACATAAAATGCTCAGCCATTTTTGATGGGGTGCCTTTTGGTAGAATAAGCACAGAGGGAGCATTTCTAAGTTATTGTTCTGCAATGTGGGCACTGAAATTTGGATGGCCTGTGTTTCAGAGCACATTTGGAATGATAAAAGTATGACTGAGAAATATTTACAAATCCGGTCTTATACAAGAGGGAGTAAATGGAACTAGGTTAGTCTTATCGTGACCTTTTGCACGGTCTGAAATTATGTCATTCAGATATGGGGAGGGAGTCTCTTATTTAGACTGGAGGGTTAGTCCAGTGTGTTTTATGAATAATCTGCTGAGTGATTCAGACAAAATCCCTTTATTGCCGGCAATTCATTTTAAATAAACAGTTATTGTTAAAAGTGTGTTTTCTGATTATGTGCTTCATTTCCTTACCTAATGACTTGAATACATCCGGGCCAGCATATTTGCCGTCAAAGTACACGGTGTTGTTCTGGGAGTCAAAGGCACGGCACATTCTGATAAATACAACCTCTAAAGACCCTAAGCGCAAACAAGAAGAGGGTTCACAGTTGAGAACAAGAAACAAAGGCATCTGCTTTCCTTTCATAAACCCACATTTCTTATCTCTTTCTTAAATAAACAGTAAGTTCCATAGGTCTTTTAAAAAATCCTCTTGAGCTCACAAATGAAGGCTTGTAGCTTGGATGCGAGCGCAGAATTTGCTGCCACGGGATTTAGTGATGGCGGCCAAGATGGGTGGCTTTAAAAGGGAATTAGACAAATTCATGGAAGAGAAAGCGACTGGTCCGAAGGACGGTCTCTCACTCCAAGCATCGCAGGCAGGATGCCTTGTTTACCCCTTACTGGGGAATGCAACAGGGAGGGTGCCCTGGTCCCACGTCTCCACACGCAACTGGTGTGAACAGAATCCCCGCCCAGGCAGGCCTGATCCAGCACGGCTCCTGCTGCCGTCTGGGGTGCTGAGAAGTGCGGGCAATCCAGGGCAGTTCCCCTCCCACCCTCTTTCCTCGTTCACACAAGGACTGTCCACCCCATTTTAGGGAGCTGCCTCCCTTTCCTGGCTTCCATATTTACAACCCAGTCAACTGTTTGAGGGGTGTGCCAGAACTATACCATACGCTTGGTTTTTAACCATATTGTATCAGTTCCGTGCCAGTGTTAGAACAAGAGGTTTTATCAGCATGCGTTGGATCAGGTTGATTCGGAATCAATTTACATAAATGACAAAAATGGGAATATGTATATAGCTTAAGCTCAAGGAATAGGCTATTCTGCTGAGTTCTTCTGCCCTGGAACTCATGCTTCTTAAGTCCACTGCACAAATTGCCAGGAATATAACTATATATTAAAATTTTAATTATGATTATATATTAAATTATTATTATATATTAAAATATAATGCGAAGAAAGCCTTCAATAGGGTTAGGTTAGCCATCGCTTTGTAAAAACACCCTCTATTTTAACAAGCAGCATGTAAGATGACATTTCTCTTAAAGGCCTCAGTCTTGGATTTTCTACAGAAAATATCCCATTTTCAGCAGCAAATTAGCATTTGCAAATATAGCACAGCATATACCCATTCCTCAGAATAAATGAGCTGAAGGCTTATAAGCAAAGAGCAGGTGGTTAGCTTTCCGCAGAACAAAATCTAAGGAAACAGCTACAGGCGAGGCCAGCACACGCATTCACGCCCTTCCTGCAACCAAAACGGGTAGAGGAGGAGAGCTCCGCAGAGCACGTACCTGCTTTTAAAAGCACGATTTGATCGTTTTGACACAATTCCATAAAGCCATCAATGCGTTTGGCAAACTCCACGACGTACTGTATTGCTTCTGTTATTTTCACCGCACATAATTGCCACATCACCTCTCTCTGCTGTTAAAGAGGAAAAGGACAGGGTGCTATTTCAGGCTTGCGGATCCTTCGTAAAGGGAAAAGCGCTGAAAAGCAGCAAAAGGTCTCTCTCTATTCAGCCGAACAACTTATGCGCAGGGGTGGGGATAATGGGACACACGTGTAGCCAAGGCATCCCGGCACGGACAAGCAACAACTCTCTTCCTATCCTGTATTTTAATGTGTGTTTACTTGCAAGGCCAATGGTTAAAATATTGTAAGCCCTGGCAAACAACACTCGACAAGGAAAACGCTACCCCTGGATACCAGGGAAGGACGAGAAAACTGTGCAATAATTCTCCAGATAGTAAAATGCAGAATCAGCGCCCAGATTGCATCATTATTATTTATATCGTATCAGGTTATACAGAGAGCCCTAAAAGCAGGGCTGGTTTTCTATTTATTACAACTCATCAATAATTAGTGTGTCGGGTGCTTAAGGTTTTGAGATGAAATATTCCACTGATTGCATTAGAAAATATTCTTCTAATATTGGAAGAATAATATCTCCTGTTGATATAGATATAGCTTTTAGGAATGTGCTCTGGGGATACCCTGGCATGGTATTGTTGGAATGTGGACGAATTTGAGAAAACAAGCAAGCAAGCAAGCAAACATGCCTTCACTTGCTCCCGTCTCTTCTGCGGTATGACTGATTTCTCTTCTCACTGGTGTGGACAAGTGAAATTCTGTGGCACTACATTGTTACTGTAAGCTGCCCAGAGAGGGCAGTATGGAAACGAAATAAATAATTAAAGAATCGTACTTAACCGAATCATCAAAATCAGAAACAAACCTCAGTAGCATCTGAATCTTAGAAGCAGATGCCATTTATGTAAAACTCAGCTGGCATGAGAGAGACGTGGACGTTAAAGCCACAGAAAGCTTGCAAAGACACAAAATGGAATAAAACTTCCAAATTTGTCCAAATGAGCATGTTTCGCATTGCTGTGGGAGAAGTGAAATGCAATCTATTTAAACACGGACGAGCAGCTACCAGAAGTATTTTGAATTGTACACACGAGAGTTGGGAGGAAAACTACTTTTCAGGTTGCCCCGCGAGGACGGGCTTCAAGCAGGGCAGTTCCTAAAACGCTGCTTAGCAGTCCAGCCATGACGCATACCTTGCTCTGGTAGTTCTCGATTTCCTCTTGCAGAAAAGTTTGCCATGTTATCTGCTGCAGCTCTTCCCTCAAGTACTGGCAGGTTTCCACGTGTGATTTAGAAATGTTCTGTGCAAGATGTTCTAAAACAGACAGAGCGAGCAAGAGGCGGCATGCGTTAAGGGAGACGGTTACCCAGGGTGTGTGCATGCTGCCGAGCCGACCCTTCCTCTGCAGGTGTTTTCAAGAATAAAGGTGCCCCACATTGAAATGGGTGCCACAGGTCCATTTCTAGTCCATTTTACGCCCAAGATGGTCATACTTCTTGACCGTCACTTGGGGTGAATGGCTGCAACCTGGATGCCCCACCAGCATCTTTGGGTAAGTCAGTATGTCTCATTTTCGACCTGAGAATTGATAGCACATCTGCATTCTGGGTCAGAGAATCAGGCACAAGAAATTGCTCTCACAACTCCCCACAAAATGCCTTTCCTCGGCCACACAGCCCTTTGTGGAAATGGACCCTGCGCCCACGCGAAGGGACCCTGAGAGTCTAAATTCCGCAAGCACCGCTCTGGCGCTTAGCCCAGGGCCGCCGTCTCGTGATACCGGGCGGCGTTGCTCACTCCCTGTGACATGGAGGGGGCCACTTGGAAAGATCCAACCTACCGGATCAGAACAGTTTGGAAAGCTATGCAAGGGCAGCTCAGGGGGTAAGCCAAGTCCCATTTTGATGGGAGAGGGGTGGGTTATCCGCAGTGCTCATCAAAAAACCTTGAGCTGAGCCTGGTCTCCGAAACCCATCCGAGCTCTTGTTCTAGAGCAGCTGAAACACCCTTAGCCCATCAGCCATCGGCAAATTAAGCGACGCCCCACTTAAGCGGGTCTGTGTTGCGTCATTGTTCGACTAAATCCCGCAGCCGGAAGTGTGTTGCATGGATTACCTACGGAACACTGGGCTCTTGAGGGACCCTCTAGAATTATCCTTATAGCCCAGTGCCAGAATCTGGGCAATAGTCCCTTGTTTAGTACAAGCCTGCAGATAAGGAAAAACCAAAAGCGGCCTGGTTTGTAATGGCTGGGGGGGGGGGGGCGTCTAGCGAGCGATCCCCACAGGACCTGGTGGGGATCTTGGCGGCGAGCCAGGGCGGAAGAGACCTTTTCCAAGCCCCGCTCAGCCACACAACGCGATGGGGCGCCCTGGGCCGACCGCTGCCGCTCAGCCTAGCCAACCTCGCAGGAGGAGCGCCTCGAAGCGGGGCGTGTGCATGAACGGACACTGTTGGGTCAGAGGCAACAGGGGGGTTGCGAAATCAGCCCCACGGAGCGGCTCAGGGTGAGCAGAATCCACCGAGCCAGCAGCACTAGCGGCTCAAGGTCACGGCTCGCTGCAGGCGAGGTGACCACCTATTTCCAGAAAGAGCAGCCACGGAGCGACACCCAGCCCCACACCCCAAGGCCGTGGGCACTTCTGGGGGCCCAGAGGCGTCGCCCGGAATCCAAAGGAGAGCCATCCCACAACTCCAAGCCCCCCGCTGCGGTCTCGTTACCTAATTCTGCCATGGACACGGTCGGAGAAGTCTCTCCATTTGTAAAAGAGCAATAAGGAAAGAAGCCCGAAGCAGGCGTGTAGTCACAGATCGGTTCTGGTTTGATGCCATTAATATCAAGCCCCGACTGGTCTGGAGAAGGCTGAATGTCTAAGTAGAAACTGCTAACAGCGGAGTCGGCTTTGCTGCCTTCAGGGGTATGCCCATCAATGTAATTACTGAGGTCATCATGCAGTTCTGTGAGTCCGTTGGTAGTGATACTGTACGTCGGAGTCAACGGCTCCGCCTCCCCGGGCTGCTGCTGGTGGTCCCGCTGCTGCTGCTGCATCCGGTGCTTCTGCACTTCCGCATACAAGCTGTCCCGCTGCTTTTTGGACATTCGGCCAAACTTCACAGCTGAAAGATGTGCACAAGCAATGCATTTTGTCACCACCAGAGTCCAGTGTGGTGTCGTGGTTAAGAGCACGGGACTGGGACTCGGACGATCCGGGTTCGAGTCCCCGCTCAGCCATGGAGCCAACTGGGTGACGCTGGGCCAGTCACAGACTCTCAGCCCAACCTACCTCACAGGGTTGTTGTTGTGGGGAGAAGATGGAGGAGGAGAAGGATGTAAGCTGCCTTGAGCCCTTTGCAGGAAAAAGGCAGGATACAAACTAAAACTAAAATAAAAAAAGAGTCCTCCAGCTTAGAGGATCAGGAGACACGCTCTGCAGCCACTGCAGCGACGTCCTACGTTAGGTGGACATGTCATGACTTTCTCTGGGGCAGCTACTCGGATGCTTATGATAAGGCTACAGGACTACAAGGTTTGCTCTGTTGCAGAGGTGAAACCGTAACTGGAAAATCAGGAGATGGCGTCATTTGGTTCGGGGGCTTTAGCGGCACCCCTGAAAAGAGGGGCAGCTGTGTGTGAGTTCTGAGGAGAGCTGGGAGGGCCTGAGGAGGGGCTCGTACAAGAATGAGCCTCAAAGGACAAGCTTAACATGGAAAAGAACTCAAAAGAATTAAAGTGCAGTTACATGAAATACAGTGTGTGCAGGTCTCATTTGCCAAACTTGGGTTTCCTTGGCCCGAAAAGCAGGATTTCTTATTGTCAGGAGAACCTACCGTTCTGGTCTATGATCTGAGAAAAGCACGTTGTAAGCGTTACCATGTGAGCAACACAATTTCCTAAGGCCTTGACCAATAACGGGGAAAAAGAATGCAGAAACAGGAGCAGAAAGGAAAAAAAATACAGGATATCTATTATGTTGGATGAAGCCGCAAGGTTCTGGAATAAGAGATTTGGTTTCAGGAATAATACTGCAGGTGTTTTAAGGCTAGACAAAGGCAGGAATTTACTGCACTATTCTCGATGCACTAACTTTTGGGTGAAGTGGAAAGTCTTTCTCCTCACGTGTGTCTGACACACAACTGGCAAGAAGTCCCGCAGGCCAAGGGGCAGATCGATCTGGAGTAAATCCAGTGAGGCACAGTATCTCTCAGGACTAGAAGGGGAAGAGCAAGTAGACCGCCGAGGGGCGTCGCGTGTGTGGGGCAGCTGACCCGAGCTAGTAACGCTCACCGTCTCGAGACATTCCCACGGCGAGGCATTTCTGCAACCGGCAGTGCTGGCAGCGGTTTCGACTCGTTCGGTCGATCAAGCAGTTCTTCTGGCGCGGGCAGGAGTAGGTGGCGTTGCTTTGCTGGCTCCTCCGGAAGAAGCCCTGCAGCGGGAGGAGAGGCGAGGGCAGGGCTGGTCAGGCCCCAGGCTCGGCCAGGAGCCTGTTGCTCAAAGCACCACCGTGACGAAGCCACATGCCACCTTCCGCAGAGGAAAGGGCGCCACCAAGGACTGGCATACGGTTTACGACTGAACCCATAACACTTCTACGAACTGATACATACCGTGCTGTGGTTATATATTTGTGTAACATACATACATTATAAATATATAAGGCCTTCCTGTATATATTTATATTTATATTTATACACATATACATATATATGTATATATTTATATATACAAGAATCTATATCTGTATTTGTATAGATTTATATATTCTGTAACAAAAAAAGAGAGACGTGTTTTCCACTGAGAGATACCTGGGATTTTAAAAATTATTTCTGCAAATGTTGGGTCAGTTTCAATAATGGCCGTTCAACTGAATGCCTGCAAGATGTTGATTATGAAAACAGCTAATGGCGCTTGAGAGCTGAAAGAGCTCGCACACAATTGCCCCATGTTATCTCTGGTCAAACAGGTTCCTCGGGATTTTGTTGAAAGAATATAACAACCAGCAACTCCCCCGTTTTCCAGAAGCACCACAAGCAGTGGCATTATTCCCTTCCAAAGCACGTTCTTCATAAACTCCAGGCTAAACTTTCCTTCCTTCCTCCCTTCCCTTCCCTTCCCTTCCCTTCCCTCTTTTTATACCACTCAATAACCAAAGGCTCTCTGGGTGTTTAAAGAAAGTTAAAAACATATAAACAAACAAAAACAAACAGGAAAACAGCATATGAAACAATAAAACAACACCACCACACAACTGCAATCAAATCAGTGCAGTACAGAATAAAATGCAAAACTAAAATTAAGATTTAAAGGTTAACTGTTAAAATATTGGGAGGATAAAAAGGGGTTTTAGTATGATTTTTAATATGAGTTTAATCGTTATACTTAGACACTGCTTCATCTAATGGCATCTCTAATAAATCAGTGACTGGCTCTCCCAGGCTCTTTCTCTTTACTTCAAAGCAGCACCGGGATGGCGGACAACCGGAGCGCCCGCTCAAGTTGGAAAGATACTTCGGGGATCCGGCTGCTTTTCCCGAGACTGAAGAGGTTTCAAAACCAGCGCGGGCGACGGGGTCTGCTCCACCTGCTGGGGGGCTGCAAAAACTCGCTGCTCTTCCAGCTGATGTTCCCAGCTAAGCCCAGCTGAATGATTTAAAAGTCTGCCGGGCCCCATTCCTTTGGCAGAGGCACCGAGCAGATCAGAGCAAGGTGCAAGTGAATGAACACGCTGACCTCAAACCTTCCTAGTATTTGTATTCATGGTGCGAGCGGCGTGGGTAGAGAGGCGGGGGGAGAGAGAGATTTAAAGGTTTAAAGAAAGGCAGAAGGTAATCCATTCCCACTGTCTTGTGACTTCGGATAGAGAATTCCATCATCCTGGTCAAAAGAATCAACGCTGCACCTCCAAGTATAACCACAGCAACAACGCAGACAGGACCTAGGGGCTGGAATTTTACACTGTATTTTCCTGTAGCTGCATTTCTATTGCTAACTAAGTTTATGAACTGGTGTGAACCACCCAGAGAGCTTTGGTGGCACAGAGATGGACAAGGACAATGATGAAGTTTGCAGAGACTGAAAAACTAGCGGATTGCGGATCAGCCCTAACAGACAGATTTCGCCCAGTGTTCACCGAAGCCGGGAACATCCAGAAAAATTGGGTGCTGCTTCCTGCCAGCGCAGACTAATTGTGTGTATTTGCCACTCTGACTGGCCAGGGTTTGCCGAGGTGCTGGGGACCGAAATGCGTTTCCACCCCAAGTGTTCGTATTGCACAACTGGAGTTGGCGAGGGCCAAGAAGGCCACTGGGTGCAAGACGGCTCACGCTAAGCCTTCCCTCCCAGAGGGCCGTCCAGCTGCACCTTGAAGGCCTCCAGTGTGAGAGAGCCCACCGCCTCCCCAGGGCACGGGCCCCACTCTCTCAGCAATCACGCGTGGGGATTTTTTCCTGATAGCTAGTGGGAATCCAGCTTCCCGCAACTTGAGCCTGTTATGTCCTGCACTCTGGGATGATCAAGAAGAGGGCCTGGCTTTCCTCTGTGTGACGACCCTTCAAGGACTTGGCGACCGCCCTCCTCTCTCCCCTTTTAGCTCCACACTGTTCACCTGCTGGAACCTGTGGGGCAACGGGGCCAGCAGATCCTCTTCAGGGGGCCCCTGCGTTCATTTCAGCCATTTTGCAGTAGGAAGTGCTCTTGGGAGGGGCTACACTGGAGGTCCACTCGCCCCCCCAGAGGGCCTGTCAACGGCCCCGATTCTGCCTGTTCCTCCTCTCAGGTTGTTGTTGTTATTATTATTATTATTATTATTATTAGAACATTTCTATGCCGCCCCTTGCCGAGGTTCAATCCAGCAGGAGGCAGGATGTTCTCAGACAGACAGCCAGAGCCATTCCTTTGCCCGGGGGCTTCATCTGCCTGCTCCCCTCAACATTCACCTTCCCCTGGCCCCTTTGCCCCCCGCCCCCGGTAGCCAGTCTCGCCTTTCCCACTAGGTTCCCCCCAAAACTGCCATACTCAGCCCAATCCTTCGTTTCCCGGCTCACGCCCCTGACACCATCCACCTCTCCCTTAAGGCACGGCTCCTTTCTCCCCCCTCCCCAGGGTCCCGGGACTCCAAGATGGTGACTGATGGAGACAGGGAGGAGAAGAACTGGCCGGTGGAGCTGCCACTGCGGCTGCAAAGCTGTGTTCACTGGCGTCTCTGGGAAGCAAGCAGAACTTGCCTGAACCCACCACATGCCTGGCTGATGTCCTGCTGACACACAGAGCGGTGTACACATATTGTAAATACATTAATGGAATAAGAAGGGACTTGCACTCTGCTCTTGCTTCCTACAACATTCGCCCCAAAGGCCCTTCTTACACATGAAGCCAAGAGTGGCAACAGTGCTTTGGGCTGCTGCAGACGGAGAACAAAAGACCTCACAGCTCCGCTTCCGCAGCGCCACACGCCTTTTTCCACACACGGTGCGCTCCAAATGCGCACACACCTGGGCTCCCAGGAAAGTCTTGCCCCGTCCATTTTTCATTTGCTGGTCAGCTTCAATGAACAACGCCAAAGAAGCTAAATCTGATGACATGAAGAGCTGTTTTCACCTGGACTATTAATAATGTCAAAAATCCATGTGCATGGGCAAATTTGTCTGCCCCCCCCCCCCCGAAGGAAAGGCAAGCATGCCCCCCCCCGCCCCCGAGCTCAGAGGGCGCTTTCTCTGCCTCCTTCCCTTCGCCATCCTTCGAGCGGGCCTGAACCACTAAGCCCCTCTTTGGTCTTTTGACAATTTTCATTTAATGAATTGATTCCTACAGTTCATTAACATGCCCACTTCCGCTTCTGTATACACATATGTCTTAATTAGCTGCTCATTGGCTGTTTAATTACAAGAAAACAGCCGACAGCTGCCTTGTTGCATCCTAATGGCAGACACTCCGAAGGGTTCACTCCACCAGCCTGAGACAACAAAGACTTATTCATAATCCCATGATTTATGGCTAACACTCACTCATTTCCACGTATCATTACATTCCACAATATTCCAGTAATTGCCAATTAGGAATCAGAGAGTTGTAGGTTTTTTCCCCTCTCTGATTCGTTTTTTTCATTTTCTAAAGCAAACTCTCTGAATTTATTTTTTAGACAAGCAAAAATAATTAAAAAAATCAGTGTTTGGATTGTAGAAATCTGGGCTGCTGGTGCTGGAAATGTGGGGACACGGTGCAAAGAATTTTGACCCATTTTATACAGAATTCTTGAGCCCATGTGTGACATGCCAATGACATTTTCATGGTCTTTCAAGAAAGGCCGCTGTCTTCGGTTTTGTGGGGTCTACAATACGTCATTGCGCTTCAAACATTTACAAAGGAGGACTGAATAAGTCACTTAACACTTGAGATACAACCTTGAAATCAGGGAAACTTTGTAAGAAAAGCTGTGCTGGATCAAACCAAAACCTGGTTTAGTCCAGATGCCTGCAGGAAACTCAAAGCAACTCACAAATGTACCAGCAACCTCCTGTTCCAGTTCCCTGGTTAACTTCTCCTCCATGAAGTTGCCCAACTTCCTTTTAAAGACCATCAAGTTGGTGATGCGCACGACATCCCGCGGAAGCGAATTCCACAGTATAAATACAAAGGCAGGATGAAAATAAATGCATCCCAACATTGGCGGTAGGGAGAATTGATAAGTTCGGCCTTAAGTGACCATTGTTTTCCTGCGTTCCCTAACATATCCAATCACAAGACAACGATATTGCAATCTGATGCACAACCTCCAAAGATCATGAAGCAGCTCTGGCTCCCAATCTTTCAAACAATTTACAGGCCAAATTCGTCAAAGAAGGAAGATGCATCTAGAAACGTTAGTTGCATCTGTTAGAAGTGCAATTAGTTTGGCTCACATTGAGAGCAGAGCGGGTTCAATAAATCTTCAAACATGCAAAGGAATTTGAGGCATCTTATGAAGGGAAGCTACTGTCCAGGGAAGAGCGGTGTGGAACTCAAACTGGGGAATATATTGGAATTATTTACAGACAATATGGAATTGAGGTTGCCAAGCAAATTATTTAGAGCAGTTAACACCTTGGCTGATCTCCCCTTCCTTCAAAGCAGAGCACAACAAAGCCTTTCTAATGAAAAGCCTTTATTAAAGTTGACCAACCATTGGCCATTGACCAAGCAAAGCTGCGCAAAACTGTTTTTCTTACCTAGCTTCTCACTTGACAGCTGTCAAGCCATGAGAAAGCCAAGAAATCTTACCCCATTTACTGGAGCACGGAATTTCAAAAGTTGCCCACAAAGGGGGTGGGGATGATTTCTTTTAAAATGCTTTTTTCACAGGGTTCATAGAAAACCCTGTTCAGCCCTGTGATTCCCCTCCTATTTTTTTTTTAAAAACCTTTGTTTTGACAGCAGTCAAAACGCCATGCTTCATTTTGGTCCCCTTCAGGTGAGCATTGGTATGTTTTTCTTTTTTCCAAAGGAAAGCTTGGTTAAAAGCTGGCAAGTGGCCTTCGTAGCACAGATGACTCTCCGCTTCTCACAACCCACAATCATGTCACTTGCCCAGGTTTGGGCGACTCACTGGGAGTTCAACACCCTCTGGAACAAGCCCTGGGTAGCCAAGCAGGGGGGCTGCCCAGAAGAAGCCAACCTGTGCAAACTTGTCCCAGTTGGCCAAACAAGACAGCCACCTTGGCCAGTTATCCACAAAGGATTGTCCTGGCATGTGGATCCAATCACAGACTTTTAAATACTTAGGACATCTTTTTATCTGAGAATGATGAATCTGACCAGGTATGCTTACACTAAAACACAGACTCACCAATTGTATTTCTTTGCAATCTAGTCCCTGACCGGATTAACAAGGGCAATCCAAGCTATTCCTGGAGCAAATGAGCAATGGATGACCTTGGGCTTAAAAGCAGCTGCTCCGTATTGCTCAGTTACTTATCGGGGTGTCCAGAGCACATAAGATGCAAAAAAATGGAGGTATGAAAAAAGTATCTGCAAGTTGAGTAAATACTCTGCATCAGATTATCACTGCTCTCTTCTCCCAGGCACTTAATGGCATGTGACGGGGTATGTCTGCAGTCCAGCTCTGTTTTTAATTGCAATTCTAAACTGTTTTGAGTTTGGTATATTAAAGTTTTATGCTGCATGTTTTTGTAAGTGTATTGTATGCTGTGTTTCATGATTGTATCTGTGTCTTGCCAATTGCTCTGAACTGCCCAGAGAGGTATAAAGATAATAATCATTTAGGATAATAATTATAGTTACATGTATAATATCAATAATAGCGACAATAATAATTTCAGTTTAGTTTCAGAGAGAAGCTTCAAAAAACCTTGTGTTCATGTAACAACTTAAGAACATATTATTTGGAAGGAATGTGTGTGATTAAGTCAAATTGTGCTTTAGAAGAGAAAAGCCAAGAAAATGTTTTACACTTGCTCAGGAGCAGGTGGTGAGGTCTAGCTGGATGCAAAGGCACAAAGGCAAGCCAACCAGCCCAAGGTGAGACACACCTGTTTCAGCTCTACAATTTCAAAGCTTACCTTGCAGCCCTCGCAGGTAATGACACCATAATGGATTCCTGATGATTTGTCTCCACAGATTTTGCATGGAATAATTTCAATTTGAGCTGCAACAGAAGTACACAACCGGTTAATTATATTTTCTTTTAAACACCTTAATAAAAAGCATTCCCTGATCAGCATTTGTACAGCAAAAAATAACCTGCTCAACATTCTACCGCATTAACTATTCATTGCTGAGCTGTGAGGGTTCCCCTAGGGCCTGGTACTAATTTAGGGTTGCTTGTTATATAATAGCTTTCAGGTTATTAAAATGGGTCATTTGAGAAGGTGCTTAAAAACTCACAGTACTGTCAGATTTTGTGGTTCAAAGCCACGAGGTGCGCGACCCCAGAGTTCCCACCTAGGCCAAGAAAAACACCACAAAGCAAGATGCCGCGTATGGTAGAACCCTAAAACATGCAGGGCAGCATGTAAAAAGACAAAAAAAATACACACACCTACACACAACTTGCAATAATTTCATAGCAAACTCAAACATCACTGGGAAAAAGAACCTGGATAGAACTGCGGTAAAGTTTGGCAGATGAAGGAAACCAGCATGTGTACCAGGTGAGTCTGCACCTCCAGGTAAGCCAGAGGTGCATTTCATCCTGTTTTGCCACGAATGAGCAAGTGTGCTGGTTCCCACTGGGGTTGGCCGGCTGGCCGGCCAGCCAGCCAGAGCGGCACTGCAACCTTGGGAAACTCTTCCTCCACGGACTGCTTCGAACGATGCCACCATGGCTCAGAATAATGCCTTGATGGAAACACTGGCTGATTCCTCCACGACCAGTGGAACACTATAATTACTAGCATCGGGCCCCATTTTGCTTCCGAAGGGCAGCTCCTTTCCCCCTTCCACCTACGTTCTGCCTCTGGGCACATCCCATCTAATTAAGCAGGACCCCGTCAGAAGTTTCTGCACCTCCCATTTGCCCCATAAAGGGCAAATTCATCGAATGCAAAACTGTGCACAAAGTACCCTATTTTCCTTACTTTTTTTCAAGTGAGGGAATCAAGTCATTCCCCCCACTGGCATTTTCTTCTTGGTGTGCAAATACTATTTTATGACACTGCATTGATAGATCCCCTGTTTTCCTCCTCCAAGGAACGCAAGGCAGCTCACCTAGCTCCATTTTATCCTTGCAACAACAACCCTGTGAGGGAGGCCAGGTGGGAGGCAATGACCGGTCCAGGCAGCTCCCTGGCCAGGTGAGGACTAGAACCCAGGTCGCCTCAGTTCCTGGTCCGACACACTCGCCATCACGCCCTGCTCTCAAGCAAGCGCTTGCTCATCTCTGGTTCAAACACAAACAAGCCAGACCGACAAACACCGGCAATCAAGGCGCAGCCCATACAGAGAGCACACTTTCGCAGAATTGTCCCACTGCTACTAAGACAGAATTCGGTGCGGACGTCCATCCACTGAAGCACCTTTAGAAATGAATACAAGCAGCAAAGCAGCGGTGCCTCGTAGATTTGTTTGCTACCACAATGGTGGTTGTTGTTGTTGTTGTTGTTAATCGCGAAGTCATGCCTGACCCATCACGACCCCATGGACAACACTCCTCCAGGCCTTCCTGTCCTCCACTGTCCCCCGGAGTCCACCCAAGCTCACACCAACTGCTTCCGTGACTCCATCCAGCCACCTCATCCTCTGCTGTCCCCGTCTCCTTTTGCCTTCAATCCTTCACGGCGTCAGGCTCTTCTCCAGGGAGTCCTTCCTTCTCAATAGGTGGCCAAAGTATTTGAGTTTCATCTTCAGGATCTGGCCTTGTAAAGAGCAGTCAGGGTTGATCTCCTCTAGGACTGACCGGTTTGATCGCCTTGCGGTCCAAGGGACTCGCAGGAGTCTCCTCCAACACCACAATTCAAAGGCCTCAATCCTTCGGCGCTCAGCCTTCCTTATGGTCCAGCTGTCACAGCCATACATTGCAACTGGGAAAACCATAGCCTTGACTATACGCACTTTTGTTGGCAGGGTGATGTCTCCGCTTTTTAGTATGCTGTCTAGATTTGCCATAGCTTTCCTCCTCAGTAGCAAGCTTCTTTTAATTTCTTGGCTGCAGTCCCCGTCTGCGGTGATCTTGGAGCCCAGGAAAATAAAATCTGTCACTACCTCCATTTCTTCCCCATCTATTTGCCAGGAAGTGAGAGGACCGGATGCCATGATCTTAGTTTTATTAATGTTGAGTTTCAAACCAACTTTTGCGCTCTCCTCCTTCACCCGCATCAAGAGGCCCTTTAGTTCCTCTTCACATTCACCACAATGGTAACAGTTCCCAAATAACAACAAATACGATAACTGTGGGATAACTCTAGCCTGAAGCCACAATTCAGGATAATTCTAATCCAACAGGGATATGAACTCATGTTGGTTCATATGTCTAAGGATAGTTTCTTAAGGCTATGCCAGCAGTGGCACTCTGGCACTGAAATTCAAGCAGCTGCTACAACATCTCGGGAGAACTGGAGATTCTCAAAGGTTGTCCTGGAAGTTCTTACTGGCAAGCAGACGCTTACTCTCCCAATAAGTCCCGACCTTTTCTTCAGCAAAAAGACAGTGGGAAGTTTGGATTTGAGGCTGATCTTTCAACGGCAAGGAAAAACAACAGCGCACAGGAGAAATATGGAGTTACTCCCAGTGATGGGAACATTTTCTCCTTACCAGGATCAGAGCAAGGAGATCGATGTGGAATGAGGTTGCCCGCAACAGCAACCTGTTGTAGCTGTGGGAGCCAATCGCTAGGCCGAGTGAAAGAGGGTACCTCAACCGGACACAACAGTGCAAACCAAAAATCCAGAAGTTTTAAGTTCCAAACTTGTTGAAGTTAGTGGTCAACTGCAGCAGGTTTGGGCAAATCTGGTGTGGACAAATCTGGTATCAGGCACGGTTTCATCTTTTCTTCTTCTTTCAGGACTGTTGGATATGAAGACAAGTTGAAACTGTGTGGGCAGCTTCTGAGGAAGTCTCACAAGCCAGAACAGAGGCTGAATAAGATTTCTGATGTACGAACCCCACACTTTCCAGGTCTCCTTCCACGACTAGCCAGAGCAGAATAAATCAGGCCACATAAACAAGAACAGATACATCTGCCCAGAATTCATACAGGGAGTTGGAACTCGGTTTTCCTGGTGCAGAACTGGGTTTTTTCTTCCGTTTCCTTTTAATCCAGTGCGCACGAGCGCGCAGTTGCGCCGCAAGTTCCTCCGCAGCTTTGGTCAGCCCACCTGGAACAGGAGGGAACCTCGCAAAACGCAGCAAGAGTTGGCTCTGGTCCTGGGAAGCACTTAATCAGCCACTAAATGTATTTACGATTTGAGCTAATCATATGGTTAAATCAAAGCCACAGTTTGTGGCTTAATATCCTTCCCTGCGCACTTGTTCTGTTGTAGTGAACCTGTTAGTTCAGTTAACCTGTCCTTTACCTGTTCGGCACAGGTGAGCCACTGTTTTATACTTCTTTGTACATGTTGCTCACTTTATATTTGTTTTGTATGTCATGCTTGTCCAGTTTGGTCATGGACTGCAGAAAACAGACCTGGCTGCATTAGGAGGTATATCAGATCTGCATTTCTTCTTTACCTTTTCCCATTAATTGATAGAATATTTAGACGGCCTTTCAGCACAAGAGCACTAGCCATAAAATCTAGATTAAAAACAAGCTCTTAATTAAAACAACCAATAGATCAGAACCACAATTGAAACAAAAGAAATAAACAGCACCAACCAATTAAATTGTCCTTCAGCGGCAGAGCAGCCTAGATAGAAAGAGGTTCAAGTGTCGGACTGGAACTCAGGAGAGCAAGTTCTGGCCCTCACTTGGCCTTGAAGTTCTCTGGGGGACTTTAGGCCAGCCACTAACTCTCAGCCGAACCCACCTCACAGGGTTGTTGTGAGGAGAAAACAGAGAGGAGGAGGAGGCTGCCTTGGGTTCCTTGCAGGAATGAAGGTGAGACATACATTAATTTCCCAAAGCAGAAACATGTGTGTTTGTTGGTTGACAAGTGACAAAGAGCCAACTAGTGCCTCTCAGCCCCAGAGCCAGGAAGAAATGGGGGGGGGGTGCCCCACTGGTGAATGGCACCAAAAGATGGGCCTTCCCGAAAGGTCTTCAAACCTGGGTGGTTTAGTAGAGGGGACAGTATTTATAAAGTGATCTGGATGCTGGTCTCAAATCGTGTGAGGCAAATGGTACCAAGCACTTTGAACCATGCCTAGAAAAGGACCCAAAATCCAAGAAGCGGATGGAGCAGCAGAGATGTGTGTTCCCCGTAACCCGGTCAAGAGTCTGGATGCAGAACTGTGGACCAGTGAGACTCTGAATCAGCCACATCCTGCCATGCTCAGCCCGGACTTCTCCACCTCACTGCAACCTTTCAGGAGAGCATCGACAAAACAGCTGAACCGCCAGCAACCGGCAGCTGAATTCTACTCTCCATCCAGAAGGCGTGTTCCCCATGGAGAGCGGACGGGCCGGCCTCAATGCAGCTATGATGCTCACTCCAAAATTATCTTTGCGGCTTTAGCAGCCCTCAGTTTGGAGGTGAGCAGCCCAAAAAGGCAGCATTCTCCATGAAAAACCCATCAGGTCCAGAATGGGGCTGGGGCCACCGGGCCATGCAAGGAAGCAACGCTGGGACAGAAGCAAACAGAAAGGAGAGAGAAGCCTGGTGACCGCAGGAAAACCAGCTTGCCTGATAAACCCACAAAACCAGAGCTTCTAAAATGACAAAAATGTGCAGTACTCCAAAGCCTCAAAGCGACGCTTGTACAAACGGAAGGAGGTCACAAATATAAACAGCATCCCTGTATTAACTGCTATACGTGTCACAAAGACAATTGCGTGTTCAGAACGCTGCATTTTCTCTTCTAAGCCTATTGAATAAACATGCTGTCATACATAGGCAGCAGCACTCATACATATTTAGCAGCGCAAACGAGAATGCCACATGTTACGTGGTATCTGAAGGAATGCAACCAGCTGAATTAAGCAAGAAATTATTTGACTGCAGAACGTTCTAATCTCAATGCATTTTCAGCTCCATTACCTGAATAATTTGCTCTCTTGTGCACCCTAAAGTAATTTGCAATGATTAAGTACTGCTCACCTAAATCAGCTGAAGCTTACAACAACATTCTGGTGGCGGCAGGTTCCGACATGCCGGGTTCTGATGGTGAGCGTGCAGGAGCAGGCAGTCCCCGGAAGACTGTGAGCAGCTCCTTGTGCAAAACCCCACCTGCCTGAACCCTGACAGGCCAGTGAGATCGACTGGCTGAAACTCTCTGACTAGGAAGGTGTGCTTCTAAATGCGGCGCCAATCTTCACGCCTGTGCTCATATGCAAGAATTGCATAGAAATCCTTATTATTTCATTGACCCCCTCTTTCAACATACAGCCCGCCTTTCTGCACAGACCGCACGAGGTGGCTATTGAAAGAACAACAGTAACATCCTTGGAAGACTTGCAGATGGCCAGCAGGAGTCTTAAGAGGTGTCCTGTCCCACAGTGGAGGAAAGCAGGGAGTTCCTTTCGCAAGAGGAAAAGCCCTG